TCTCTGTTTTTAGAAGTGACCCCTTTGTGAAGTTCAAGTCTCACAACTGAATGCAGTCATCGTATTTCCTCTTGGGGTAACCACATTCATCAGCTATGCAGCACTCTAGTGACTCATCAGTTTGGAAATATATGGTCACACTCCCTTCATACTAATGGACCATACACTGACTAAGAGTCTGTCTGGGAAGTGGTCACTCAGCCACGTAGACACCATGCATGATTCATAAGAATCAAGATTATCTGGTTTTGATCTAGCAATGCTAACAGTGGGTTTATACATGCTCAGACTGTTCATTACGCAAAATAGAATAGTTACACAACTTAACTGGTCTTTTCTTTGTTATCTGACAAATACATTACAAACAATGCAATATTGCGCACTCTCAGGCGTATCTCTTTCTATCGTTAACTGTCCAATAAAGCACAAATGCCCAACAAAATTTTAACAGAAAATTAAGTTAGTCCCAATTTGTCCTCTTATAAACCCTTCCAGATTGACTCAGCCAGGCTCAGGGGAAGTGCTGGCTGAGTAAAGAGTAGCCAAGGGAGACAGCTGTGTCCAAAAATTGGCTGGGAATTCATCAGGCTCAAAGCCCAGTGACATCACCACCTCTCTTCACAATGCATACGCCAACATCTTCCCATCACATGTCCCTGATGCTAAACTTGAATTATAAAACACACTGAATCGCAAAATATGTGCCAATAATTTTCACATTTTCAAACTGAAAAGTTGAAAAATGAAACAGGGTTTGCTTGTCAATATTTTAGGCTAAATTTGTGTCAACTACTTTAATGCACAGAAAGTCGTATCTGATGTCTCATTGCTTAACACACTTATTGTTTTAGCATTCAGTGGGACATAATGGGAGATTAACGTCATATGAAAGTAATTATTATTATTGTTTTCCACTTGTAAATAACATCTAAGTCTTAATTATTGCTGAAAAACTGTGAATTTGGAAGTGCTTGAAAACAAAACCAACATGGATGTCTGATGTCATCCAAATTACATTGTTCAAGGTAATTAAACCCAAATTGAAATGGATAATGTTATATTGTCAATACATAGTATGTTTATATCTCCCATCAGCAACTCTGCATTCAAAACTGTTTGAGTAATGACATTAATGCCTGGAACTAGAAAAATGGGAACCTTCCCATCGCTATCTAGACCCCATATTATGTGACTGCTGCATTCATGTCTTGTAGAATGGATATAAAGCGTAGCATACTCAATACCAAGTCAGCTATATCAAAGTTTTCAATAACAACAAGTGTAATTGAGACTTGAGTAAGATATTTACAATATGTATTTACAATTACTGTTACTCCCACAGAACATAAGCACGAGTCAAAGCTAAGAAAACATATTTTGTGTTTTTCTTGAATTTGACATTACATTTGTTTGCCAGATGCATTCATTGAAATACAGTATTCTGTTTTAGAACACAATGGGATCAAACCAACAACCTTACGATTAATGGCTGATCCACTCTAAAGCTACATCCTTCCAAATTTTCCTGCCCAGCACAGCAGTAGATTCCTACTTTTCTTGTGGACAGAAAACTCTGTCTATGTTTCAGCTTTTCACAGAGACTGATGAACGAACGCTTCATCAGATACAAGTTATGACACAAGTGGAACAGAGGAGAAGGAAATGTTTTTTTTCCAACATACACATTCAACATTGTTTCTAAGTTACCAAACAAGCTAAAAGTCACATGTCACCATTTCCCCTTATGGACTGAGTCTTTAGAAAAGCATCTAGCACCTGCTACTGATCCACAGCAGTAAATTCTGTGCTCTGTCAAGTCCAACACACCCACACATTGTTCAGACTTCTCAGCAGCCACAGTCTCTGGCCTGTGTGTGTGTGTGTAAAGCATCTGGCCACTTAGAACAGTGTGACCTAATTCCCAAGGTGGAGATGAGGCTAGATTTCATTATGCTTATATCATTCAAGGTTAGATAGATAGATATTAACATGGATACAGGGGAGATGTCTTTTTCAGCATTGACAAGCATTAATCATATAATACTTCTTCCTCCAGGGTTGTTTTTACATTTTAAGACTGAGATATTATCAAGGGTCAAGGTAATACAGCTGTGTCACTGCAGAATCCGTTTGGAGAGGTCACAAATACTGTCAGTCAGGTCATAGATAAGTCAGTCTGATAGTGGTGATGGAGATCATAATAGATGTGCAATTTAAGAGACTGCATGGGGTCAGGGAGAGGCAATAATAAATAACTCTGACAGCCAAACCTCAGTCCTCATCTATATTAATATTCTACTCTCCTCTGAGGCAGTGTGCTCTGCCTTTCAAACTGTTAATAAACTCTACTTAATTCAAGACATCTTCTTGTTATCGCCAACATCCTTGAATATATAGCAGATTACAGCCACTGTCAACCACTTTACAGTACTGAAAAAGCTCAAATCAAAGTAGATGTACTTCTTGCGTTTAGAGGCTAGGACTCTTCTTCACACATGTAGGCAAATTAAAAACCCCACCTCACTTTATTTTCCTGCCTTTGGACTGTGGAAGGAAATCCGAACACCCAAGGACAGCCTCATGAAACACAAGAGGAACCTGCCAACCTTGGACCTTACACGCGTAGACATGAAACTTTTCAAATGCGTATATGAACAGGCACAGTTTAGCTCACACAAACACATCAACATACACACACACCACTCTCTCTATGCCTCTATACACATATGCACGTATGCATTAATACAATATACTGTATACTGTAAACAAACAAAATAACATTATCACATTGGAGAGACCAACATGAGCACCTACACACTCATTAATGTTCCCCTCACGTTGCCCTGCCAGCAGGGACATCTGGACACCAGTGACGTGAAGATGCAGTTGAAAGCTGAACCTGATATTTGGCTCTGTGTATTTCTGTCTCTTTGTGATGTGGACACACATCTGTGTGTCTCTGCCCAGCCTATTCATAGAACCACCACTTCAGCAGTCTCGAGGGGCCTCCCATAGGAATCCACCTTGACGTGAAGACTGACACATGGTTGCAGCATTTAGTGTGTTTGTCTTTCTCCATCCATTTCTCCATCTACCCACCCATTCTTTCATTCACCTTAGCTTTCTGTCTCTAAAGGCTCCAAATGCCTTCTCCTTACTGTCTTCACATCTTCCTCCACTCATACCACTCCACTATGTTCTCTTGCCTTTGCTTGAGTCTCCTACTTTCCCACCTCCCCGCTCTGTGTGTATACAGGCTGTCCACTGGCAAGGCCAACATCAATGGGACTGACCGATGCTGCCAAGTTGCCCACCTCTGCCAAGTGAGAAGGTTAGAAAAAAAGGGCAACCTTCCCCCCTCCCTGCCCTCAGGGGATCATGTGTTGTGTCAACATGGTCTCTCTGATCAGTGCCAGCTGCTCTGCCTCAGGCTGAAACTCAACAAACACCATGCCTCTGGTGCAGAACAGCGCAGATAGGTGGACTGGATAGTGCCCACAGCTTCCCTCTGCCAACTGTACTGAAGAAACAACACTGAGACAGGTCTCCATGCCAGCTTCCTGCCATCTGATTAACACAGTCTGACATGCACTCATAGTAGACTGGCTGGATCCACAGACTCTGTGAACAGAGGCCATGCACAGCTGTGTGGGACTCTCAGCTTGTGGCTTTTGACCACCTCAAAACATGAGACTTGATAGGACATAAAATCAAAGGTTGCAGTACAAATCTGTACAGATGCAGTCTGTAACTGGTTAAAGGAAAAGAGCACAATGTCTTTCTTGATATACAGTTAGTGGACACATTAAACATCAACAAAGTTTAAAGGGGAAGTCTTTTGTGGTTCTGTCAGGAGCTTTTTAAACTCTGACAAAAATAACCCTGACCATGTGATAATGATGTAAGCAAGGAGTTTGAAATGCTGCTTTAACAAGGTAGGGAGAAAGACCCCAGTTGAGTTGCATTAAGTCAGGATATCTTGCTAGTCATTTGCACAGATTTTGATCATTCTTTTTTCAATCTGTCTTTTGCAAGTACCCAAACCTTAAAACCAGTATTCCTTTAGGAAAATGACACAGAATAGAATTCATTTTATCATGGTCCCTGGTCTGTCTGCACCTGCTACACTGCCACTATGGAGCCAATATGGAAGCGTATCTGCCCATAGTTGGTGACCTTTGACCCTGGTGGTCAGCAGATGGAAGGGTACTCTGACATTAGATTACTTCAGCTACACCTGCTGCTGGGCCAGGAAGGGGTCACACCCTCCTGTCTTCCTCCACCTCTGGAAATAGACCCTGTTGCTACAGAAGTTACATAAGTCCCTGCTTTGTTGAGTGGCTGATTAATGAGCACAAAAGGTAAGAGGTGTGTTATATCTATTTCAGTGTGCCGGTTTGTGGGTGCGCACATGACTTTACATTTTAGGGAGGAGGTGAATGTCTCACCTCTTCCTACACTATTGCATGGAGTCTATTTGGGTGAGTCTTTCTCTTTGGTGTACTGCAGTACATAACTACATCCACATTCCAGGAAAGATAATTATGGAATGCCTAAAAAATAAATGGCACAGTTTACTGTAGATCTCATTTGGTTTGCCTGCCTGTGTTCACAGCACTATGTTGGCCTCCTCCACACCAAGGAAGTGGTGCTGGTGGGTTAATAAAGTGCTGAGGGGCCAGCTGTCATTCAAAGATTCTCACCGCGTTACTGCTCCAGTTCAGCCAGTCAGCAGCTCTACACCTACTGTGGTCCACAGCCTCCGCGAGAAATCAGTACCTTCATGTGTGATTTGATTTGGTTTAGATAAGGACTATGGAAGGAGGAGATGAAAATAGGTGAAATAAGCTATTGGATTTAACTTTAGGATATTCGATACTGTAAAGAGAGACACAGCAAAACAACTACAGAGTATATAAAGCTAAGCAGAAAGACTGTTAAATTCAGTTTGAGAAAGAAAACAGATGGTTCATTTCCCAAATAAAGACAGGAGGCATGTGTTACTACAAGAACATTTCATACTTTAATATCTCTGGCAGACATTAACTGTATTAAATACAAACTTTTCTTTCCAGTTTTTTTCCAGAGTGGATTAAGCTTGCAGTTCACATTTAAGCATGTATCCAACTTTATTCCAGTCGAGCGTCAAATCTTAATCTGAACGTCCTGTAATTAATACCAAGGCAAATAGAATTTGAAACAAAGATTATTTACATAAGATACAAAAATATATTTCACAAAAAAGACAATAAGGACCTCTATAAAATTACAAATATATTTCTATTATAAAAAGCTTTTTTTAAATACTCTTCCAGCTTAAATTTTGGGTGAGGGAGTGTAACCTGGTCTGTGAGGTGGGATGATTTGGGATTCTAACGATAAATGTTCCAGTGACTTTTTGCAACATATATTCCACGTCTCCATTCCTCACGACGTTTCATGGAGTCTGTTACCGTATGGCAGCTAAGATTCTTGTCCTCAGGTTCCCTACGATGCTAATTTTGACCCTTCTTGCAGTCCTTACAGCCCAGTAGCCAGTTGGCCTGGAGTTAGAAGACACTGCTGGGTTAACTTTAGGAGTGCTGGCTAGACCTGATGTCGTGGTGGAGCCGCTTAGAAGTTGCTGTGCCATCCAGTTGTATCCTGTTGGGTGGTTTTCAGTGTGGGGGCCGGGAGCATGTTAGCAGCTCAAGGGGGGCCCAGACATCCACTCCCTCCAAAGCTCGACTCCAAGATGAATGTGAGCCTCCGTGTCACATGCCTAAGAACAGACAGAGACAGACAGACACACCTGATTAAAGCAGAACTCCCTTGCCCGTTGCCAGCTCTATTCTAAGAGCGACGGACGTTGGGTTTTACAGGCTGGTCATCGTAAACACTGTTGGCCCTAATAAACACGCCATTCTCCAGTGCTAACAGGGGGCTGGCTGACTGCCCGACTGGCTGACTGAATGTCCAGCTTTACAGAGGCACTGGACGCCTGCGAGCTGTGAAAGACGGACATTCAGTGGCCGAAACAGAACAGAGCAGGGCGGTGGAAGGAAAAAACATGGAAATAAGGAAAGCGTTTCAGCTCCTACGTCTGTCTCATTCCATTCCTGACATATACAGTAGGAATTTCAGCCCAGGTTTGCCCCAGCACACATTCCTTATGCTGTGATGCAAGTTCCAACACTCACAAGCCTCACAAGAGGTCCAACACAAATTAGCTATGTATATCTATCACCCATGATGTTCTATAAACTACTAAATTATGTTGTATTGCCTTCAGTTCAGTACTTGTGTCTATGTTAAACATGAAAAAGGGAAAAAGTGGAGACAGGGATGGGACAAAATAGCAAAGCTAGCATCCACACAGTGCTATGTAGTGTGTACAAATTGCATGGTGTTGGTAGCAGCACTTTCTTCAAATTTGAGTGACGGGTGAAAAGTGATATGCTGCCTTTCTCTCCAATGTAACCCAAGAGGCCTCATGGTCCACGTAACATGCCCCAGCTCCTTCATAGTCCTGACACATCACTGTTTCTTAGAAACCTAAGGGGAGTGACTCGTGTCACTTTATGAGTGGTAGTTAGCATAGCTGACATAGGGAACAAACGCTCCTGTTAATCCCGGTGGCAGGCGGCGCCAGCAAATGGGCTAATTCATCAAGGGTTCTGACAGCTAGGTTGCATTAGCACTTACTCTCTAATGTCCTGTCAAGGTCGGCGATGAAGTCCTCCAGATCTTTAGTGTCGCCGAGTTTGGCTGGAAGGGAAAGAAAGTGATTCAGACTTCAATCTAACAATAGTTTATTATACAGACTTACATCTCATTTTGACCCATGTCCAATTACAAGGATATGAATCTGTCTAAGCCCAGTGTGCTCTTTCCCACTGTAAGTAAAGTAAGAGGTTTGTATGCAAAGTCACAGTGTGTGTTTAAGTATGAGGAGTGGAGCTCACGTTTTGGTGACATGAGCGGAGGTGTGGTGGTGGTAGGGGAGAGCACAGTGGGGGAGTTCAGCCTCTCATCGCTGAAGCTGAAGCTGTTTCTGTTGAGAGACTCTGCACCTGTCAGAAAGAGAGACAAGACCAAATGTAGACAAATGTGATTAGGCGAGGTGTTCCTTATGCAACACACACAATTCTGATCTGTGTCAGTAGGGCAGTTTCAAGGTATAATCATTGCATTCTCCTCTAATGACAACTTTCCTCTGTGGTCTGTCACACACATGCATGTGCTTATATTTGCACATACACAGACGAACTGTACAAGATATGGCCGCAGTAATGACATCTTTTCCATAAGCAATGGCGTCTGCTCTGCTGAACTGGACACCTCCAAAGCAAAAAATACCATTTATAACTTTAACTCATTGACTAAGTCTCCATTGTGGCGTTAGTGACTACAATATAACAGGTTGTCTTAGACAGAGAGCGCTCTGAAGTCACACAGCTTTCCCCCTGCTCTTAAGTAAGATTTATCTCTGACACGTTTAGAGTTTGATACGAGAAGAGAATACGTTCTAGTTCGGGCTGCTGTTACCCAAACTCTAAATGGATGGTTACATAAATGATATAATGGCCACCTTGATTCTGCCAGATGTATTTCAAGCAGCCGCAGAACATATTATATTTTCAATGTTTCTTGGTCAAGTGAGAAATGAAGGACGAGAGAAGAAAGTAGGGGCTTTCTACAGCTGTATTCGTGTTCTGTAGGATAGAATTTGACTTGCCATTCATTAAAAATAAAACTTTATTTTTTCATTTGCATCTGGATGTGGAAGTGTAGAGTCTTGGATGAAAGTGTAAACAATCCCGACCACGATATCTATATGAGTATGAAGTAAGTGTGTGTGACTATCACTCTATCTTGACTATCTCACTCCTCTATGGAGAACTCCAGCAGACCTTAACAGTGTCTCAGATGTCAACCCCTTACTTACCCCCCCCTTTCTGACCTGTACCACTCCCATCACTCAGCAGTGAACACACAGCGTGAGACAGGAGACGCCACACACAACGGGGAGCACCCAGACGCACACACACAGAGCTGTGGCCTTAACGTCAGTATTTGACCTGGACATGAAACCCCCCATTTCTCAGTTTTCTCAAATTCACTTCTGCTGCTCACACTCTCCCTCCTCTACCCTCTTTCTATCTCTGCCCCTCACTCGAACATGCACACTTTAGGGTGGATCTCTAAGACCATGCACAGTTTGTGTCATTTATCTCCATGTTCAGCAGTTCATCCATCCATCAGGCTACAACACAATAGGTCGTCCCTGCGTGGGACAGGTCCCACTTCATTAGACTGCCATGGAGAAGACAGCGCTCATGCAGGAATCTGATCCCTTGAGCAAATCAACAACCTCATTAGCACCACAGATGCAGGTTTGAACACCTCCTCCCTTCTTTTATCACTGATGTTGCTTACAGCAAGATCTTTAGTGATTATGTGGTAATTACATAAATTGTAGCCGGATTAGTAAACATTGTGGGCTTGATGATATCCTCACAAAACCACTGGAACAGCTAGCATGCAGTTACCAAATTGCTGTCCCAAAGGAAGGAAACCTGCATTCAATTATATTTATTCATGTAGGTTTTACACAGAGGAAAGTGATAGTGCCCGGATCTTTTTGGAGTGTATCATGCACTGATGTGAGTGGAAGGCGGTCTAGTCCGCAGTTAACTGGACATCCACTCTTAAATGGCTCCACAGATGGTCTTTCCAGAAAACTTAAGACCATAAAAATATTTTCACTTCTTGCCTTGGAAATTTAAACGCTCTCACACATGTTCTGGAAACTATCTCTGCTCATGGGGACATGGAGCATATTTTTCTCTGTATGTCACTGAGGCCGGCTCTGCAGCTGAGGGAGCAGACTTTTAAAACCCAGTATGTTAGAGTAATGTAGCAATGTAAGACAACTTCAGAGGAGCAGCCACAATATGGTGGCAGGAGTGCCAAAATATGCAGCAGTAGCTTAATCTGAGCCCAAATCTCTGGACTATGATCAAGGATCTCTCTCTCTCTCACCCCCTCCCTCTCTGTGCTGAGTGTAATTGTGTTTGAGAGCATGCATGTGCAACAGTTTGCCAGTCTCCCCCGCTGCCCTCCTGATGGCACATGATAAGATACTGCACACAAAGGTATTGTAGTGCAGTGGAGAATTACCGCTGACTGCAGCAGAGGAGCAGCATTAGTGGGGGAAAGTTTATGACTGTCTTACAAAAAAAAAAAGTCTGTTTGGGCAAAGCCGGCAGAACTCCTTCAGACCATCAGCCATAAGTGACAGATGCAAAGAACAAACCACAACTATCACTTCTACAGTTCCTGATCTCCATTCTCAAGTGTCACTAACGGGACTTTTATTGCATAACTTTAAGATGCAGTCTGGAACCTTCCCTGGTTTAAGAAACTCAGATGAATTGCAGTCTCCCTAAATTTAGTAAATGTACAGTGAATAATTAATCAACGTGTTTCTCCTTACTCTCTGAGTCGCTGATGCCGCTGTCGCTGACGCTGGCGCTGCTCCTCCTCTTCACGGTCTTCAGGTGTTCGTCGTACCTGAAGTGTCGCTTCTCCACCGGGGACGTGAAGTCTTCGATCACCGCGTCGAACTCACACAGCACGTCGTTCAGATCCTCCTCGTTGACGAATTTCCCTGCAAGAAAATGTCAGAAAAAGCTTGAAAATAACTCATTTATACTCATAACAGCCAGTTTTTGGATCATAAATATTCAGCCGAGTCAGGGACTGACATTAAACCAGCAAACAACTAGGCTAATCTGGATTAATATGTGAAGTGTATTGCAGTCAATCAATTAATACTATATTTTATTTCCCGTAATATTTCCTTTTTGAATATTATATATATATTACATAATATATAATGTAATATTGTATAGTATTATTATAATGTTATATAATATTATATTTAAAGGTTATTAGAGTGTGAACCCGTGGTGACAATGACTGCAAACAACACACCAAACAGGTCGTGTTGTTACAATACAAATAAAACATATACATCAAGGAAAAACAAACTTATATTTACCTTGAGGTTTCAGCTTTGGAGACTTCATAATTCCAGTAATTTGAGATTATCCAGTAACGATGTATATTTGCCACTAAATGTAAAGTCCCACTCTGTCCTCCTGTCTGTCACACTCCTCAAGGTCTTGAACTGACCTCCAGCCAGAAGACTGCCGCTTTTTAACGTGCCCTGCTCAGTGGGGGCGGTGACGACAGGAGCAGGGAGGAGGGGAGGTGTGTGTGTGTGTGTGTGTGTGCGTGTGTGTGTGCGTGTGTGTGCGTGCAGTGACCAATAAAACGGTTCCCGGTTGAAGTTACACTCTCCCGACGTCTCCCTAATAACAGTGTGTTTGTAAACAACTTATGTGTCACTTGCCAGGCAGGAGTGTAACACAGATAGCCTATTTATAATCATGACCCAGTGCATTTGATATTTTAATCACCAGGCAGATCATGACAGAACAAGGCCAAAGTGTTCTGTCATAACAGATCATTTAGGACAAGCTGTTTCTGGACTCTTGCCTTGATAGGGGGCTCAATATTCAAATAATTTAATGTACTTCACTTTTTGCTTCTGTTCTTCAACCTAAGTAACATTTTGACTGCAGGATTTTTCCTGTGGTTGTGTATTTTTACATTACGTCAATGATTTAAATATTTCAGTATGTCAGTATGGTGAACATGGGTCCCAGCATTAGTTCATACAGTATAAAACATCGCATGTATATCAAGAACCTCCGGGTCCCAACAGTCCCACTAAAACAAAGAATTATTAAACGTTATTTCATTAGCATATTTGTACAGTAGCAAATGAAAATAGGGCGACTAGCACCAGGTTGAGAGTTTTAGATTATGATTGTCAAACTCAATTTCTCTTAATATTCATGTCCCTTTGAATGTGGAATTATGCTTGTGAGTTCATGTATTTAAAAACCACAGTATATGTTGTTATATTTTAAGTTATGAGTCAAACTTTGAAGAACTGCGCTGTACTCAGACAAGTCATCTGGCTCTGTACAACATGATCCCCAGAGATCTTATCAGAGGTCTATCAGACAAAACCTTATCACACTGACATGGAAATATTTTGTCTGGGCCTGAACTTCAGCAAAGGTGAAGCTGCAGCGACATCTGGTGGTGAGCTATCACACTCACATCTGCTGTTTTAAACTTTTGAATTCATCAAACCGTTGTTTTGCTGTGTGGAGGGATGAGTTTGCCAGAATGTTCAGAAAAACAAATCGTTAAGCTTGACAGCTGGAAACACTATCAATATATTTGCTTCCTTCTGAGCTTTCAATTGTATTACACAGTCTTCATCAGCATGTGTGAAACGGTGGAACAGTCTGAAACAAGCAAATACATGGACCTTGAGTTGAGATTAGTTTATCCCTGAAGCACACATTTACAGTATCTTCTATTAGGTTCCTGCTAACATTTAGCAAATTGTTTGGCTAAATAGGCTTGAAAACCTATAAATGTTACAGCAGCACCAGCAGCAGCAGCTGGTGGATGTTAGCAGTAATTTAAAAAATAACAAAATTGGTTATTTTATTACAATACTTGCTAAGATGTTTGCAGATGATGAGCACATTAATTATATATCGGCTTGCTGTCACTTCTTTCTCAGACGTGAAGCAACATTGTATTTTCCAAGATTGTGTCTGAAGTCTGGATGAGCAGCTGGGCGGCCGACGTCATATTTATAAGACCTTCAACCAGATAATCACCCGTTAAAATTAAGACACTAAGCTTTTACCAGCGGTGGATGAAATTGCCAACAATAGAAAAGTTATTATGTAGAGTATTTCCACAGTCAAATTACACAGAGACACTAACAGCTGGTTCCCATCAGTATTACCAAAACCCAAGGCAGCCAGTTGTCCAATAAAGCTATCTGTGACTTAAGTTGTCTTCACAGATCAGTAGCATTCACTACAGCCATGCTGAGACTTTCACACCTCCGTGGCCAGTTTAACATGATCAGCAAATGGATAAACATGGAATGTGTTTGCAGCTGCACGTGTCTGTTGACTCTGGAGGCCCTCAGGTGCTGCTTAACGATGGGCCCGGGCCTCAGCAGAGGTGCTAAAAGTGACACCTTCAAGGCACCATGGCAAGATATCAGTGTTCACATGCTCTTACTTTGTATACCGAGATGTGCTATTTGCAAAGAGAATCCGTTCATTTATGTACGCATAAATCACATCATATTTATTTAAAAATAAATTACATGATCTTTACTTACATATTTACATTAATTTATATTCATTTCTGATGTCCAAATATCAGCTTTGAAAAAGTGCTGCATATTATTGCATTCACTAATATGTTTTATAACAAATTATATTATATATAAAAACCGGGCATATATTTGTACAATAAAACACCCTGCATTGTATTAGGTTGTATATTACTATTTTTGCATTCTCCTTGTGGCAACATCCACATCTGGCAAGAAGGAAACCAGTGGCAATTTGAACAGTTGAGTTTCACAAACTGTATGAGTGGATGTGCGTACACTACTTGTGTGTTTCAGTTTGCCTGTACATGTGCATGGTTGACCTGACCTGTCCTCATTTGGTATAGATGTATATAGTGTGTGTGTTTCACTCAAAGTCACAGCCCAGTAGTTCTATTCTCATGGTGAGGGAGACCATCCAGCTTTTGGGGATGATTCGGATGAAGCGGGAGAAAATAGGAGGGTAGATGTAGTTTTTCACATGGTCGTTGCTATCTGTATTTCCGGGAAAGGTCTGGATTTGACGAGAGAGAGAGAGAGAATTGTTAAGTATCACTATCTACTACTGTCAAAGAAAACTCCGGTGAACTGGTTCATGTAATTACAGTTTCCCCGTGATTTTGCAGCAGCTCACCTTGTAAGGGAGGTCCTCATCATCTGTGTACTGGTTCCAGTGTATCCCATTGTTGCTGTACTGCAGAGCATAGGACATGACATACATCTCTTTCCCCAGAGACTTGGCTCCTTGCGTTATTATACCTGTGATCTTCTTAACTTTGGGCAGCTCCACCTGAAGCCACTCGTTCATGTCATTATACTGTGGAAGAGAGGGCGGGGGGGTTGACTTGTAGGTTGCTATGTGCATTTATGAACTACTTAAGTTCTACTTAATACACAACATGTATGTGACTATTGGGATTTTGTACCTTAGCTTGCCATGCATTGATGGTGCCCTGCTTGTTGAGGCGTGCAAGAGATGGGTTCCAGGGTCCCGAGTACCAGCTGGATGCTGTGGAGCTGGCTGTAATACGATGGTCTTCTATCTGTCTGCTCTCCATCCCCAGCGGCACTGAGCAGCCTGAGGGAGAACATTAGAAATGTCATTTACAGGAATCAAACAAGTGTCATGTTGCAAAGCAGACAAAGTTTTTGTTAACCAGGAAAAGCATTTATCATAAATTATACAAAAAGATTGGTCATATTTGTACATTTAATGTAGTTAATGTGGAGCACATAGCTGATGTGTATAGCAAATACATAAAAGTAGTAAATATCTGTAGAATAAATCTGGAGCTCATACCAAATGGATCAACATAATGTCTGCACTTTGGAGAATCTATTGGTGTGATACATTGTTTTTCCAAAAAAATGACTGTACAAATAAAGAGTAAAGTTATGTTGCTAGTGAACAATGAACAAAATCAAGAATATATGAAATAAATATTGACTATGAGGTTTCAGAGAATCTTTAACACAAGTTTTGCCACTTTATGTCAAAGAACTGCAGACTAGTATGTACTGTATGGATTTAGCTTATTATGCGATTTAAAAAAATAAAACAATATAAGATGTGGAAATGGATCAGAAGATACAGCTGGATATAAGGGATTGACTTGAGTTCTGGCTTGCCCACACAAAGTCAATTAAACATTTCAAATACTTTCTATCCTTACGGTACATTAACATCTTACCGTCAAGCTCACAGCCGTAGAACTCCATGCGGAGTGTGGCCTTGTTGTACCAGGTGATGGGGTGGAGCCTAATGAACCGTGCAATCACAGGAGGAAAGAAGGTGTTTGTCTCTGGCCCATTGACTCCCCGGTTCCCAGGGAATACCTGGTGGAAGAGAAGAGCAGACAGAGAGAAGTAAAGAGTTGATCACATACTTTTCTCTTAGTTTGTAGTTGTTTGCTTTGATCAATGTCCCCCACCTTCCTGATGTCCCTGCTGTCACCCTTATAGAAAATCCAATTCCGGCGGTCGCTGCTGTAGGAGATAGCATACTTCTCCACAAACTGGGAATAGAAAATCTGCTTGGCTCCCTGGGTGGCCACCTGGCTGATCACAACTGGCCGCTGGAAGTCCACCTGTACAGGGGGAATTCCACAGGTAGCAGATTGTATTCACATAGAAAGCAAATGCAAATATAGTCAAAAATACACACACACACACACACACACACACACATTTATTGCACCTTCATCACATACCTGAATCCAGCTGTGGTTCTGCTCTGTGCTCCATGCATTATATTTACCCTGATTGTTCAATCTGGCAAGATGAGGCTCCCAGTATCCTTCAAAGATAGAAATACTGTCATTCATCTAGAGCTAAACTGCAAAACTTCTGCAGTCATTTCACTTGTCATGGTGATTGCAGTGGGACCACAGTGCATTTGTTGCCAAAACAGATGGGTGTAAATTGGAGGAGGTATGGCTATGGCTACCTCTAGTGTTAATAGCTGTGATCTGGTTGTCTTTCACGGTGCCGGACTGTAGACCCAGCGGACGGTAGCAGTCTTGGAGGAGACATACAAGCGGTTTCTCAGTATCATAACATAACAGTATGTCAATGTAGTTAGAAAATCATATTGTAAATGTTTGTACCATTATCTAGAACCAGAAAGAGGGTCTGCATGCCCTTCTGTTGGTTGAATCCAATTTCTGTCTCCAGCTGCCACAGACCAGGTTTGGATGGATACATCTCCAGAGTAGCAAAGCTCCCTGACAAAAGACAGTTCAGTCATTAAGTCGAAACACACGCTATCTCTGATACATTTTTGACATCAAATATATCCAGTAGCTATTCTCTGTATTAAAACTGTTTTGAGGTACCATCAATCCAAATACTGTAGCGCATGTCTTCTATTCACAACTTGAAAGAAGAAATGCAGCAAAAGATGTTATTCTGAAGTGATATAACAAACAAACATGTTGCTCACCAGGCAGCAGTGGGTAGACGGCCTGTCTGTAGTTGGTTATCTTCTTGTGGAGGAACGTCTGTCCGTGGAAGTGGACACTCTGAAAGTCTTTAGGGGAACCCATGTTTATTAGGTGCCAGCACGCGAGCTGGTTGGTGTACATCCTCAGGCCCTTCAAGTTGTGTATAATGCCATTGATGGCTTTGGACACAAGAGACAAAAAGACATATTGTTTAATCATTTTTGGTCACTGTGTTTCTGTTCTGTAACTGATCCTGAATGCATGGAAGAAATGGTACTGCAACTCTTTGCTACCTAAAGTACCATGTTCTGACACAGTGATATAATATTAACGGTGATGTAAATACTCCATGTGTAAATAAGCATGTTAAAATTCTTGCTGACAAAATTTAAAAGATTTGTGGGAGGATTATCATTTGAACCGGGCTAGTTGAAGGTACATAATGCCTTACAATGGAACTTGAGGTTGTCCTTGAAGTTGAGGTCCATAACTCTCCTTCGGGTTTTCCTCTGCATCATCTCGTGGTTCTGCTCGTAGTACCAACTCTTAGACTCATCAAAGATCATGAAAAGCAATGTGAACTCCCTCATGTCTGTTAACGTCCTGTCCAGGGTGCCCTCTCGACACACCAGCAAAGGCCCAATCAAGCCAGAGTGGATATCCCTTTCCTAAAAGACAGAGCATGCACTAGGTTTAATATTAGTATTTTTTGAAAATATATACCACTGTGCTGAATCCTAATACATACTTGAATGTGTTAGATTCAGTTTAATCTTACTTTAAAGCCCCTATGTGTATAATCTGAATGTGATTATCTATTATATCTTTTCAATTATTTTGATTTTGATGGTTTATTTGTAGAATCCTGGTGAAAATCGGTGCAGTGCGTCTCACTTTCCCACAGTGTTTTTATGCTGCCACTAGGGGGAGCCACAGTCAGAAACTCAAATTCTACAAATAGCATTATTCAATACATGCAATACTAAACTGATATTTAGTTAATATTTTTTTTAAAAAGTGCAAATTACTCACAGGATTAACACCTGAATAGTAGGCCCAGGTCCGACAGTGAGACTCATCTGGCGTTGGCCCAACCACAGCATCGACCTTCCATATATATGTGAAGGTAGTATTGGGTTGAACCTCATTGTCATATTTATACCAGTACTTCGAGTCGTCTTCGTAAGACAGACCCTCTGTCTGCTTGGTGTAGGAAACCCCATTTGGGTGTAAGGAGTACGCACGGTTGGCTTTGTTCCTGAACACCACCTGCAAGAAAAAAGACACATTCTGTGATTAGGTAGTTATGGCTTTGAAGGAATAGTTAGACATTCGGGGCAGATTGATTTTCTTGCCAGGTGTTAGATGAAAAGATCAATACAGCTCTAATGTCACTGTGATAAATATACACTGCTCAAAAAAATAAAGGGAACACTTAAACAACACAATGTAACTCCAAGTAAATCACACTCCTGTGAAATCAAACTGTCCACTTAGGAAGCAACACTGAGGAACAAGAGAACATTCTGCTGCCTGCAACATCCTCCAGCCTGAGCGGTTTGGCGGTGGGTCAGTAATGGTGTGGGGTGGCATTTCTTTGGGGGGCCGCACAGCCCTCCATGTGCTCGCCAGAGGTAGCCTGACTGCCATTAGGTACCGAGATGAGATCCTCAGACCCCTTGTGAGACCATATGCTGGTGCGGTTGGCCCTGGGTTCCTCCTAATGCCAGACAATGCTAGACCTCATGTGGCTGGAGTGTGTCAGCAGTTCCTGCAAGAGGAAGGCATTGATGCTATGGACCGCCCGCCCGTTCCCCAGACCTGAATCCAATTGAACACATCTGGGACATCATGTCTCGCTCCATCCACCGACGCCACGTTGCACCACAGGCTGTCCAGGAGTTGGCGGATGCTTTAGTTCAGGTCTGGGAGGAGATCCCTCAGGAGACTATCCGCCACCTCATCAGGAGCATGGCCAGGCGTTGTAGGGAGGTCATACAGGCACGTGGAGGCCACACACAATACTGAGCCTCATTTTGACTTGTTTTAAGGACATTACATCAAAGTTGGATCGGCCTGTAGTGTGGTTTTCCACTTTGATTTTGAGTGTGACTCCAAATCCAGACCTCCATGGGTTGATAAATTTGATTTCCATTGATAATTTTTGTGTGATTTTGTTGTCAGCACATTCAACTATGTAAAGAAAGGAGTATTTAATGAGATTAATTCATTCATTCAGATCTAGGATGTGTTATTTTAGTGTTCCCTTTATTTTTTTGAGCAGTGTATATTATGTACAGCCAGAAGCCAGTTAAACAGCTAGGGAAACAGACCCCTGCAGGAAGTGGTCCAGCACATAATCCCCCATGAAACCACCACATGTCGTTTTTACACTTTTTTGTATGGATCAAACAAATAAGACTGAACAATTTGATTGGTGAGCTTTGGAGATGTATGAGCATGAGTAGCCAATGCCCCCTGTTTTCAGACTTTGTGCTTAGCTAAACTAAAAGGCTGCTCCCTGTGTCATCATATTTAGTGTACACACAAGACTGTTATCAGTCTTATTTTACCCTCAGCAAGAAATTCCACTAAGGCATGGTTTACATAAAGCAATCAGACATGGATATGCTACAATTTATAGAAAACAAGGACAGTAAAGCCTTCACACAGAAAATCTCTAAAATGTGCAACTTCAGAAGAGCTATACAAATGACAGCTTTGCAGCTGATGCTGACAGTCTTACCATGATGCTTTGTCCAACCTCTGCCTTGATGATAGGTCCCAGGATGCCTAGATGCTCATCTAACTCACCACGGATTTCAGGTGTGCTGAAGCTACTGTCCATGTAACTTCGGAAAACCACCTTGGTAAACTTAGTTTCTCTGCTGCTTTGTTGCGACTTGTCTTGCCTCCTGGGCGATAAAAGAACCTTATGTCAGCTTTGCATGAATGGATGTGTACCTGCTGTCCAATTTTCAAATCAATCTGAATAGTCATGAACTTTTTTTGTTGCTATCTCTGAGCTTACCTCGCTCCGTAACCAGCATAGTCCCACTCAACCTCCTCTGCAGCGATGAAATAAGTCTTGACATTTGGGCCTGAGAATTTTAAGTAGTATTTGGTGGTCTCGTCCAGGTTGAGATTCTTGATGTCCTCATGACCGCTGTAGGGGTCTTTGAAGTACACATACTCATATTCGTTTGCTTTCACATTTTGCTCATCAAGCTCTAGATGATTTGGATCGTCCCCAGGACATACAGCTCGTAGTCACTGAAATCGGGGTATCGGGGTACACCAATGACCACAGGCATGTTAATGAGCTCCTCCTCATCAGAGACGGGTTGTGGTGCATGGGGTCGTGACCCACGCGGGCTCATTCCTGGATTGAATCCACGAGGAGAGAGTGGTAAGCCACTCCTGACAAGAGGATTGAACTCCTTCCTTTTCTTTGTTTTCATGCGTTGGCCCTTCTGGGGCCTCTGTCGGACATTCACCTTCTTGGTCTTCTTTTTTGGAGTTGGTGTCGTTTGAGGCGTCTCATTCCCAAAGTATTTCTTCATGTAGTCAGGAATATCCATGGGTACCACTTGGTGAGTTACCTCATAAGTCCAGTTGTGCCCATGTGTTTTGACAGAGGTGGTTTTAATCCCCTCTGTATTTGTTTCTTTAAGGTAGATAAGCACTTCTTCACTGCTGTCTGTGGCAGGTACCTCCTCCAGGTTCCCTGAAAACACAGTATTATTGGAGAAACCTTCCCCGTTAGACGTGTGGTTTAACTCGCCAGGAAGAGCTGTGACATTCTGCAAACTAATCTCACTTGATATATTTGATCTGGATATATTCCCTGTGACATCCTGTGAGGGCTCGGTTTCAAGCAAAACGTGTGTTTCATTGTCATGGTTGGAATTGGCAGGATATGTCACAATTTCAGAGGAATTCATTTGAAGTCCATAATCCGGCTCAGGTATAGTTATCAGAGAGTCATTGTCACTGGTATTATTTCCTGTGCTCTCCACTTCCAACTCAGAGATGATCAAGATATGTCTGTCTGTGCTGCTTATGTCAGCCTCTCCTACATCAGATGCTGGAATAGACAATGAACGGTGTGTTCCATCTGCTGACATGTTAACATGGTTAGTTGCTGTGTTATTCTCAGAGGTGACATTGCCCTCTGGATTATTGTTGAGAGTGTTTGTGCTGGAGTTGGACAGAGGCACAGAGGAAGAAAACACATCCCCTCTGGTGAGCCTCTCCTCTGAGTCCTCGGCCCAGATCGTGCCCACAGAAGTTCCGGTCTGGGTGACATTGATTCTTTCAATCTCCAAGATGGAACCTGAGGTTTCTCTGGAGGTCACAGTAAGATTGGTCATCTCTGTTGATAAATTCCTAACCTTTGATAATGCAGTGGCATTGTGAACTGTTGTGTTCTTTGTGTCAGATTCTGTAACATTATCATGAGCTGAGACAACTACAGAATCACTGCCATTTGTGGTTATGCGGCCATTCTTTAGTAACATGTTTAGGAAATAAAAAAAGGTGGAAAAATAACTGTCTAAAGTTGATGGATTACTACTGTTCTGCATATGTGTTGTATTCTCACTGATGCTTTGGTTCAGCAAATTAACAGCTGTAAGGTCTTGTCCATCCACTTCTTTCCAATTTGATAATGATATCTTATTTAGAGCATTTGTCTTTTTCTTCTTGGAATGAAGGGTGGAATTTGTATCTCCATCAGGCACATCAATAGCATCATAGTCGAGGAAAGACAGGTCCAGCTCTTCCACATCTGTGCTACTAGATTGGTTCTTCAAAGACCTGAGACCTAATTCATCTGCATACATTTCTGTGTCTATATCCGTCTTCTCTGTCCTTTCTTTTGCAGGTTTTGGCTTCTCCTCTTCCTTCTTGATTTCATCCAAACTCGGAGGTTTCCACACGGTAAATTCCTTGTTTGCTGTTGTATCTTCATAGTCATTGTACTCATACTGATTGTCATGATAGCACTCAGCATCCCGAAACTTTACCCGCATTCCTTTGGTTGTCTCGTGAGAATTCAGGGAAGCCAGGAGCCAGACACCTGGGTCAAGAGGGAAATACAAAAATCATCCAAAACCGAGCAGCTTTTACTTGTGCAAAAAATTTGAGATGGTGGCATTAAATATCAATAGTCTCCATAACCTCACATGTCATATCACCTACTCTTGCATTACAGTATTAGATTAAATACAGTACATTGGCTTTTCTCAAGTTAAACATATCCCTACACATCAAATATTTGGATACACAGTTTGACTTAAAAAAGGCATTATAAGCCCTCACTGACCAATGTTTTCCAACTTCATAGTGATGGTCTCTCCAGTCATGGGGTAGAGGCTGAGAAAGTCCTCTGTCCGCTCATTCAGCTCAAATGTATGGCCGTAGAAAGTAGCTGTCTGGATGTAGTCCTGCGCTCCAATGCTGGACACGTGCCATGTTGCAATCTCACCATTGCAGAAGCCCAAGAGTGGGCCGCTCTCAAACACATAACCGTTAATTGCTGTAAGGAAATTTAAATGAATATTAGTCATCTGACAGAGAGCTGGAGGCAATGCAGTAAGATGTATGAGGAAATAACGGAGGGAATATATTATGTCTTTTAGAAGTAGCTTTTATTAGCTTCAATCAGATTATGGGGAAACTTACTATGCATGACATTGGACTTATAAAAGTCCGGGTCTGCCTTGTTGACTTTGGATTGATCACAATATTGGCGAATGTTGTGATCTAGGTACCAGCTCTTGTTCTCATCGAACACAGCCAACATGGAATGCTGCTCCCTGTCTGCTTTCAGCTGTAGAAACAAACCAAAACCTCTATTTATTTTAAAATGTCTTACATTTGTAGTATAGTTTTGATTGTTAAATAAACCGTTTTCTGTTGAAAGTTGAAATGTATATATTTGGTGGACTAAATTCTACCAATCTTTCATCACAACAAAACTGAAAAAAACATCAAATGTACCTTTTTATGTTAATCTACAAATACAACAAAATGTTTTTCAGTGTCCACTGCATTAACCTAAATTGGTTTCAAAACATATCACCAAAGGACAGTAGACAAAAATTTGCCAACTTGCTAACAATGGAAAATTCATCAAAATGTTGATTAATGTGTGCTGACCCTATAAATGTACACATGAAATTAAATAAAAACAAGAAAAAAACAGTTGCTAGTGATGTTTAGCAGTAAGTTTACCATGTTCACAAATTAACCTGCTAACATTCGCTAATTAGCACTGAACACAAAATACAGATAAGGTGGGTGAGAATGTCATTGCAGGCATTTGGTTACAAACCAACGTATTTGATGAATTAAAAAAATAACCTGATGATGGCACTAGATCAAAAATTTAAGGGATTACCAAAGTGGTTACAAATCATCTTGAGGGCAACATGAATTTCTGAACCACATTTCTTGGCAACCCATTCAGTAGCTGTTGAGACATTTCACTAAAAACCTTAAATCTCAACCTCTTGGTGGCACTAGAGAAAAGTTAAGGGATCACCAAAGTTTGAAAGTTTCTTTGAAAAATAAACGTAAAATCTTTTTACCTGCACATTTCTGACATTGAGGGACAGACTCTTGCAGATGAGGATTGGTCCTATCAGTCCTGAGGCGATGTCACGTGGTGTGTCCACTGCACTGTGGTACATTCGTGTCAGACATCGAGAGTCTTTGTCCAAAGGCTCATCCTCTTCCACCACTTTCCAAACATAGGTGTGTGTCTCACCTGGCTGAACACCATGGGTCTGGTTGCCTGGCAGACACATTGAGACATTAATTTTATTGTAATAATTATATATAATCAAACCCACTGTACGGTTCAGTCAGTTTGTTGAATTGATTTAGTACCTCCTGCAGGGTAGTTGACTCCCTCTTCTGACTTCTCTATTGTCAGTCCATGTGGATAGATGCTGTAGGGCCTGGATGCCATGTTCTTAAAAACAATCTGTAAAAGGACAGGAGGATATTTGTCGACATATGATTTGTGAGTTGCCCCTGTGCTCACAGTCTTTGATTTGAAAACTATGACTATGAGGTTTAAGTGCTGACTTTCAGTTTCATTTGGAATCATGAACAGAGCAGGAACTGTAGCCATTTTTATACATAGTGCCCCAAATTCACTAGACGGCTCTTGAAGTTAAGATAAACAAAAACTTAAATCTTAAATATTGATTTTCAAATCCTTTTCAGTCAATAGCTGAACTCAGGTCAGATCTCAGCAGACACGCTTATTCTCTAACTTGTTTCAGGGACGTTTTACATTCAGTCTATAATCCAAATACTAATAATTAGTCATTTCTAAGTAAGTCTAAGTAAGCAGCAACAGCCCTGTTGAGTTGGACTGAGTTCAGATGACTCACGTCAAAAATATTCCACTATTTGGTACAAAGAGCCCTTTGGTTGACTTGTATATTCAAATACTATATTTCAAAGGTAGTGCCTTCTAACGGAGAACACAAATTGTCGTAAGTCTCTTCATCAGGTGCCTGTTAGTTTTAGAATGTACTTTACATTTTTTTTATGTTTGTAAATTATTCAATATACTGTATTAATGCCTAAATATTTGTTTGGCATGCTTAGCATTTACAACACTCTTCTATAATATTTGATTTGATTTGATTTTAATTGAGTAAGGTCTCACCTTGATGACATCTCTGATTTGTGCTCTGATCACTGGGCCCAAAATCCCAAGTTCATCTTTCCTTTGCTTGTTCTCTATCCTTTCAGTGAATGACTCATTGTTGTACAGTGTATACACTGCCTTCTTGTACTTCTTGCCTATGCGCGTTGACGACTGTTTCAGGAACTGAAATTTGAAGTTCCTACACAGAAAGATACAAGATTTAAATATATTTTGAGACATTGATATACCTTCCGTAAGCAAACATGGCCATTTTAAACACTTGTTCCACACAGCCTCAGCACTGTTGGCCCCCACTCACTCAGAGTTGAGAGAAAAGATGGAAAATAACTCTAATATGTTTAGCTTCTTCAGTAAAGCAGAAGTGAACAGAAAACCAGGTTTACACACCAATCAACACAACTATCATAGTCTCCCTTTTGACAGTAAACACGACAGTGTACATCAGGACTTTTAAATTGCTAAAGCCATGAATAAAAATAAACAGTAGCACCTCAAATTAATTACAAACACAAAGGATTTATGTTGCTACAGAGGTATGTCTGATTTAGTTTGCATGTACACCTTTAAAAATGCTGTGAAACTTATAAAATGCTCTAAAATGTATCTGTAAATGGTGCTTACTCATCTATGTAGTCATGCATTTCAGGTGCATAGTCCCAGACAACTTCTTCAGCAGCTATGTAGTATTTCCACTCTCTGCTGTGTCGTTTCTGCTCAATGGTCATCCTTCGCTGGGGTGCGTCGAAGCCGGCACACTTTTTCACATCCACAAAGCCATGCATGCCAGCTGCAGTGGCAGAAACACGTTTATTTCTTATAAATGTAGTTACACTGGTAAAAACGATCGATCGGTGGTGGGTGGAAGACTTACCTTCCATGTGCTTGACGATGTGTGAGGAGAGCAGCCAGCGGCCTGTGTGGAGAGACACCATGCTGGCAGTGGTGGAGGAGCCACTGATCAGGCCGACAGATGACACTTTATGTCCGGCCTGCTGCAGCACCTGCCCGTTCATATGCACTGAGAATACCTCTGGCTCTGAGCTCATACCCAACAGATGCAGGCTCACAGAGGCATGTGCACACACGCTGACATCTGAAAATAAAAGCGCAAACTGTCTGTCATATTGTGTATTTTTTCTTTGAATTGTTTTGTTTATGCAGGACATCTGCTGAATGTCTTTTCCCTGACTGTACATCCCCGTGGCGTCTAACACTCACTCATACATTTGTGTGTGTAGTTGAAGAAGTATTCATATCATTTGTCTGCATAAAAGTAGCCACAAAAGTAAACTAATAGTAAACTAGCAAATCTCTAAAATTAACTACACAATGAGGTGTTCTGATTTGCTAATGTTGGACAGACTAACCAGGTAGCCATCCCTCTGTGTATCCGTTGATGGTGTATTTGACATGGTTGTCTGAGGCATGGCCGTTTGGTTTGTACTTGCTCTCTTTCTCATCAAAGACCCCAAAAAGGAAAACGTACTCCTGGTTGGCGGCAATCTGCTTCCCCGTCTCATCCAGACTGTCTGCAGAGAGAGAGAGAGTAGGGAAGACAGTGTGAGAGCGGTCAAAAATAATGACCAATTCATTTGGGCGCAGCAGCAACTGATATTTTGTGATTCGCATTTTACAGCTTACCAGGCTTGCAGATGAGTAAAGTACCAATGAGCCCTGAGTTGTAGTCCTCCACAACGTTATGGTGGGAAATATAGGTGTATGTGAGACAGGTAGGGTCATTTGGCTGTGGAGAAACATCTGATGTCACCTCCCAGTAGTAAACGTGTTCACTGTTGGGCTCCACTACGTCATCCTCCTTCTCTTTCTGTGATGTGTTGTCAAAGTAGCTGGCTCCTGCAGGGGGGAAAAGGCAGTTTGAATAAGGGCAAAAACTCTCTTCCTTATGGATTAATAATGTATGATGTCGGAATGGTCTAATTAATTAAATACCAGTGCCAAAAATAATGAATCCTTAATGAAGAGTTTCCTGCAAGTTGTTCTTTAATTTTGAATTCCTCTGCACTCTGACCGGCAAGTTTAAGAACATTAAGAGCTAATTTAGGAGCACTGTTAACTTTCCTACATTTTCTCCATATGAATGGACACAGACATTGCTTTCCTAAGGCTTAGCAATGCTTCCTGTTGGACTTCAGTACGTCTACTTTGATAATCTGCCTGTCCTGGTTAATATTTTAGAAAAAGACAAACAAGGTTGTTTGTTGTGTTAGCCAATCTTGTGTAATTATTAGAATGAGTAACATCACGAGCACCCACAACGACCCTAACAGGCAAACTGCGTTACTGGCGTCTTCAAGTTACCCACAGCTGTCAGGCTCATCTGCAGCTGGGATAAACAGACACCCACCCTCTGACTGTTTCCCGTAAGCAACCCCATGCGGGTGGAGGCTATGTGGTCCAGTCGCCATGTTTCTGAAAGTGACGACAATTGTCTCTCCTTCCTCCGCCCTCAGCGTGGGTCCGAGTAAACCTGCGGAGAAAGATTTATTTGTTTTTTTGGAATCCACAGCACTTGTATTTTGGTACCCCATCATGACACAAGTAACATAAAGTCCTCTTTACTCATCACTGTCTTTCTGTGTTGTTGCTGCTGATTCACTGACTGTTATTGACCAGCAAATCTAATACCATCGGCCCCTGTAAGCCAAGCGTGATATATGTTTACCCTTTCTTGTACTGCTTTCTTGATGTTCTCTTGCTGTCATATGAAACTGTTATTTCTTAAGAACTGTCCTGGAAAACAAAATGTACTTTGGTACTGGAGGAAACTGGAGAAAGTATTCAGTCGGGACAGTACCTGCTGATGTAGTTGTGTGAAACAGTAGTGACATAGAGTCAGATTGTTCTCCAGTTTCAACAATTTCCCTCTTCATTAAAAAATTAACTATTCTATATCTAACAAATTAACTATTCATCAAAAATTGGCAGATGCATTTATGCTTTACCAACTGTGCTGTTCTACGTATTAGTGACAACCTAAACTGTCTTAGGAAGATCAAAACATGATCAAAACCAGTCGCTATTTCAAACCAATATGACCAACTAAATACAGGTTTTTAATATCCCCTTCTTTTCTGTCTTAGTAAGGTTGTGGGCACCACGAGCCTCCACAACTGCGTAGAGTTTCTCCACTGGAAGAATGAACAGCATTCATCCAAAACATATTCCCTCATTCGGTGTTTTATTTGTGGTGATGAGTGTGCTGCCTGACGAGTTTCTCCAAATCCTTCCATAGGTGTTTGATTGGGTTGAGATCCGGTGACTATAAAGACCATAATATGATTCACATGATCATCATCAACAACACACTGTTCAGTGAGCCCTCACAACCTGTAGGGAAGCATTTTAGCTGTTGTTCAGGTTTTTCCGTTAGCGTCTCACCACTCTGTAGAGTCAAATCACTCTATTATTCTGTTATTTTTTATTACAAATTTAAATAAATCAGCGGGTACTCATTAATAATTAACTAATTAACTGTACCAGTTGAAAAATTCTTAATTTGACCTCTAATTTGTGCCACCAAATGTATCAAATGTGCATTAAATTATCAGGAAATAAATGTATCTATCTGAATGGAGACAGGATGAGTGTTTCTTAGTAATTACAGCCAGACAAAGTGTGTCTCTGTGTAAATTGCACAGAAAGTTTACCTAACCAGGAGGGATGAGTTTTAGCATGTCTGAAGTCTTTCTCATACTCCCGAAAGACCACTTTCTTATAGGTGGGACCAAGCCTAAGGAATTGGTGGAAAACACAAAACATGAATCAGCAAAATACATGTCGTACACACTGTGCCTCATATCAAGAAGACATGGACTTTAATATTTGAAGTCACAAGTTTCCGTATATGATGTAACTACTAATGCGTGTGACCCATTATGTGTTTATAGTAAGCATACAGTAGTAACCTGGATGTAATGACAGGATGAATAAACAGGAAATTAAACAAGGACTGTTTTTACACAGTACAAACAACTTCAATAACAGCACGTTAGTGAAGACAAAATTCATATAAATGAATAAATAACCCCAACCATTGTAGGAATTTCAAAAATAATTAACTCTTATACTTTAATACCACTAATCCATTCAAACAAGTACCCTACCTGTGTGTGTCATTGCCAGAGTAGTTCCAGTCTATCTCAACAGCAGCGATGTAATAATGTCTTTCCCTGGATCTATGCACGTCTGCTTTGACATGGAGGAGAGTCAAAAGAACCAGGACGGGCAGGAGAGACCGAGCTCCAGCCCAGGCACAGAGTCTCATATCTGGGATCAGTCCTCCAGGTGATACCGGTCTGCTCTGCAAGTGAAGAAGCTGTGATCTGACAGAGAGGTCCCGCTCTGTGCTTTATCTTCTGTCACTGACACACACACACACACACACTGAGTTTAAACATTATGTCCCCGGGCATTGAACTGTGTCTTGGCATATTTTTTTCCTCTCTCTCTTCTAATTGAAACCTTGTGTGTTTTACTGAGTCATCCCCAAGGAGTGTGCGTATTCCCATCCTCGCTGGTAAAGCACGGTGGGAGTGGGTATTGGAAAATTACATGGTAAATTTCTCAGGAATGTTCCCGAAAATCATCCCATCAAAATATGTCATAATTCAAGGACATAACATTACAGTATGTGCAATAGGTGGAGGCAACCCACCACAAACTTGATTTATTTATGTTTGTGGAATAGATACAGAAATATTGCAGCATTTAAGCATGCCTCCCGTTCAAACATCTGGAGCCTGTAGTACATTTTAGGTTTTATCACTCCTTGCCTCAGTTATTGCAATTCTTGTTATGTAGGAGTTGGTTATGAGCCTTTTCTCACCTGCAGTTAATCCAAAAATGCAGCAGAAACTCCTAACTGGTACAGAAAAGAGACAGTATCCTCCCTGTACTGGCCTCCCGTCACTGGTTATTATTATTTGTTTTTAAAGCACTGCATGGACTCACCTATTCCAGGTGAGTTTTACTCTAAACACAAGGTACATTATGTCATTCAAACAAGTACTGGCACTGAAAAAAAGTTCCACTGAAAAATAACACTAAAGTATTTAATTTTATGTTGATATTTTTTGTATTCCAATATTTTTTACACTGTCAATTTTTTTTTCAGTGTCACTGGTTTTTAGTGTGGTTAACATGTAACCTGCATACTATTGAGAATACGTCACTTCTCTGGATCCAAGGTCTACGTTGAAGCTGCTGACATGACCACAGTCTTAGCATTCAGCAGTGGCTTCCATGAGTTCACATAAAAACTCCCAAAAGTCTGTTTCTCTCTGTTGTGTTTTTCTCAGCAGATTCCTGGCATTTTTTTTAATCCACTGAAATATCTCACGAAGTTTTAATGAAAGATCAATATGTTGCAATGTCCTTTATGGGTGGCTTTCCCTGCAAGGCAGTTTTCAGATATTTTAGCAATACTACAGTGTAGAAATACTCTTTCAACATTAACATCAAAATATAGCCTACTTAAAGTACCAAAAGTAAAAGTAATCATTATGCAGAAAGGCCCTTACTGGATTAAAATGCATGGATTGATGCATTAATGTGTTCATCACTTTAATGTTGGAGCTTATTAAAGGTGATGCTAATTTTGATTAGTTTAAATGGCCTACTGCTGGGTAGCTGAACCAATAATAATATATCATAATGTACGTATTGATGTATATTTTGTATTCCTTTGATAATCAAGTATCTAATCTAGCTAGTAATCTAGCTGTCAAAGGTTGCAAGGTAAAAAGTACATTTGCCTTATATATTTGCCTTCAAAATGTAGTGAAATATAAGCAGTCTGTAAAGTAACATAAAATGGAAATACTCTGTAAAGTAATACTATTTTCTTCCTTCGGCTTCTAAATACAGAAAGTAAAGTGTTCATTCACATACAGTTCCTGGTGCACATCTTCTCAGATGGGGACAATCGATTGTGTCTGTCCATAATCACTCGGGCGTGCTGCGTGCGTGCGTGCGAGGTTGACGTCAACACGTCAACACGTCGCAGAAGAACCAGGAAGGGGCAGTAATGGTAGGCTGAAGGCGAAATGCATTAGTTATGGTTTGGAAGGAATCAAAATAACATGTAAGTGTCATTAAGACTGTTTAATTTTGACATCGTTTTGGTGACTACATGTAAGATTATGTGAAAGAGCCCGCGTTTTGCTTTTATTTGCGTCGTTATTGGCAGAAACATGACGGTTTTGGGTGCAAATGATGCTTGAGTTTATAGACTTTAACGTTACTCGTTTGGATCCTAAATTCTTTTTGTGGGCAGATCAGTTTACGTCCCTGACAAAAATAATTAACCTTTTGGTGAGCGCTCTAAGTATATTAGAACATTGTAAGAGACTGTCTCAAAGATTGGTAGCAACGATTATCGATTAATCTCTAGTTTGTTGTTATTTTGTGGTTAGTCCTTTTGGTCTGTTAAATGTCCTACAACAGACCAACGTCGACGTCTTCACATGTTTGTTTTGTCTGACCAGCTGTCTAAACCCCAAAGAATCATTTTACATCAGAAGAGCATCATCCTACTCAGCTTGATATTATTTCAGAAAAGCACAGGAGCTTTGTATCACGTCAGTAAAAGTGAATGGGGACCTTACCCAAAGGCGACGGTGTGTGTGTTTGTGTGTCAGGTTGTTCCTCATTGATCATCCATCAGAAGATAGTTCCTAAAAACCCCGAAGAAGTCAGACCAGGACAGAGCAGCACTGTGAGTAGGTCGTGTGAAGCTGGGGGCAGAGGATAAGAGCTAAATACACTCAGTTGCGTCATACAGATAGGTTTATCTTTTATTTAGCCTTAACCTCACTGATAAAAATGGGGTGAAAAAAACAGCCTCCCAATGATCATTAAGTGCAATCAACACCTTTCTAAAACATTTTCTACAAAAAACATTTCAACATTTGAACCTCCATGAAAGTAGATTTATAGCAGGACTATTGTATTAGACTACAGCTGCAACTATTAGTTTATAAATCGATTAGTTATTTTCATAGTCGATTAGTCTGATTTCAGCTTCTCAAATGTGAATATTATTTGGTTTCTTTCCTAAACTGAATTTCTTTGGGTTGTGGACAAAACAAGACATTTGAGGACATCATCTTGGTCTTTGCTTGGGAAACACTGATCGACATTTTTCACTATTTTCTGACACTTTATGGAACAAACAACTAGGGCTGGGCAATAAAACAATAACAATATTTATTGCAATACAATTTTCCTCAATAACAATATAAAAAATGTTCAACAATTGTTTGATTTAATTAATAAATGTTGTTAATAATTTGTTGAAAAAAGATTTTATCGTAATTAAGTTTAATGTTCTGTCTCAGATTTGTGAAGTGTTTGTACTGCACATAAAGAAAAGTTTAAAACCACAATTAACCATCTGGTTCATTCAGCTTTCACTAGGGAACAACATAATTTTTAGGGCCATATCGCCCAGCCATACAAACAACTAATTGATTAATTATGAAAATGACTGACAGAGTAAATGATGATGAAATGAATGAATTATTTGCAGTAAATAAGCAAGGCTGCATAAATGGGATGTTAATAGTCCATGTCCAACACAAAAATCCAGCATAATCCAAGTGATATTTTTGCCACAGGAACATGCAATATTGTTTTCAATGCCCCTTATTTGACTTGTTTTCAATATAGTTTCCTCAATGACAGTTGCTAATTGACCTGGATAGCCTGCCAAGCTCTGACCGAACTGAATGATTGTTTGCAGCTTTGTCATTGTGTTAGAGCTGTTGCAAGTGACTCTGTTGGTCTCAATATTGTTGGATAAAGATCTCACCATTTCATTGCAATCTTGATTCGGACCCTGAAACTCGGGGCACTGTGTGTCTGTGTTTTTAAGGTGTCACAGCAGGCCTGACTGCATGTATTTCCAGTCCTAGCCATGGCGTGCTGCCGTTCCTGCCCCAGGCTTTGCTCCCGCTCGTCAGGCTACACCCTGGCCCTCGGCCTGGGCTTTGTAACCTTGGGGACCAGTCGCATCTTGCTGCTCAAGTTCTCTGCCAACGCTGGTGAGTGACTGACATGAGACGGATATGACTTTTTGTTTCCCACTGAGAGTTTTTTTTGTATGTATACGACTGATGTTGTTGACTGTGTCTCTTTGTGGTCAATTTGCAGAGAACAAGTATGACTTCCTCCCTGCATCTGTCAATATACTTGCTGAGGCGCTCAAACTGCTCTTCTGTCTGGCCATGTCAATCAGGGTCATAGTCCGAGGTAACCATAGAAGTCACAGTGTGTCTGAGTGTGTGTTAGTGTGTGTGTGATGGTACGGTATGTTTATCTGCTCTTTTTCTCTGTTTCTTCAGAGGGACGCTCATGCAGAGAGCTCGGCTATTCCTCCAGCTCTTCCTTCCTCACTTCCCTGAAGTGGGCTGTACCCGCTTTCCTCTACTTTCTGGACAACCTCATCATCTTCTATGTGATGACTTACCTGCAGCCTGTTAGTTAAGATTTAACTATTTAGTTATATCGCACCTACCTGAAGGAAATATTTTGTGTGCTAGCTTTACAGTAGGGTTTCTGGGGGGAATTTTAATGCATACATTTCAATTATTCAACCCCCATTAACATGCAAGCCACACTTTTTCTTTTAAGCCCTCTTTAAAATCCAGTGAAAAATGTTGTGAGCTCACAATTCAAGAGTAAGCTTCACAATTTACAAACATTTACATATTAAGGACTCTGCCTCTAGTTCTTTAATTTTGGATTAAAAAGCATTTAACCAAATCAATTCATCGAGTTTTGATGTTATCTAAATGTAGATTGTAACTTCTCCTATCATATCAGCTTTTACAAAATGTCCTGCCCAAAGACTTTGTGTTATTGTGACTATGTTAATGCTATCACTCTGCTGTTTATCTCTAAATCAGCTGTTCTTCCTCTTCCCCGCAGGCCATGGCAGTGTTGTTCTCCAACTTTGTCATCCTGACCACAGCTGTACTTTTCAGGATTGTTTTAAAGTAAGTGGCTCAATTGAAAACGTTTCTTCTTCAATAGGATAATGTGTATGTTTTTGCGAAACTTTTGAGATTTTGACATAAAATACAGCTCATTTCAACTACAGATTAAACTTTTTTTTGTTTGTTTCTCACTTTTTCCTTCAGGAGGCGCCTGTCCTGGGTTCAGTGGGCAGCATTGCTTGTCCTCTTCCTGTCCATTGTTTCCTTGACGACAGGGTCAGGGGGCAGCCAAAACGCCATTGCTGTGCAAGGACTCCACTCAAACCCCCTCTCCACCCCCTCCAACTCCTGCCTGCTCTACACACAGCTGCTGGAGCAGATGAGGAACAGCAGGTAACATGACAAATGCAGAAATACATTAATAGGTGATGAATGAAGTACGTTCCACCATATTTGCACCGCACTCCTATAACACTGTCAGACTCATGATGGGCAGTTTAAAACAAAAAGGATCAAAATCGATTCAGCAGAACCACAGATATCAACTTTTTTGATTCCATGCATTCTTGTCGAAACCCGGCACCTACATTACCCACAATGCAACGTGTCTGCAAACAGTTAATTTGGAGATTTGGGTGTGTTTTGCTAGTAATAGCTACTGCAGCCTGTAGCAGAGATGAGCAGCAGCTGCAGAGGTCTGGTTCGCTCCACACCGCCAGATTGTTTTCATTTGTAGTCTTCGGCAGCCCAACCGACTCTGGCTCAAGTGACATCATTTGAGGCGATTTATCTGATTTTGCGCAGCCCCCCACATAAAAGCTTCATAAGCTCTACTACACTCCAAGACTTGTAAATTGATTTGAATGTGTAAAATCGGTGGAGTTCCTCTTTGCCAATTTAAAGGAAATATAGGGAAGATTTTTTTGCCTCACAGAACAAAATATCTGCTGTCTATCTATCAGGATTCAATAAATCAATAATTTATAATTCAATGATTCTCCAGACTGCAGCCTGTTTTCTACCTCGTTTTGGAACAAATGCCAATCAATAATTTTTTCATGTTCTCCCACCACAGTGCTAGTGAATCTTGGGTGTCGTCCCTGCCCGGGCAGGCCTGGAGGGACAGGATAGTAGGGAAGCTTCGAGCTCTGGGTGTGGGTCACATCCTGCTGCTCCTCCAGTGCTTCATCTCCGCCATGGCCAATATCTACAATGAGAAGATTCTGAAAGAAGGAGACCAGCTCACTGAGAGCATCTTCATCCAGAACAGTAAATTGTGAGCAGTAACTAAAGAAGAAATTAATAAGGCAGAAGACACATGGTTACATTTAATTCTTCCATTGTAATCGGCGTACTTTGTGGCTTGGTTTTTTAGGTATGCCTTCGGTGTGGTGTTTAATGGTCTGACCCTTGGGCTTGGCAGTGAGGCACGAGGCCTCACCATGCACTGTGGCCTCCTCCATGGACATAACATCTACTCCCTGGGTTTAGTGCTTATCACAGGTGAGTTAACAGCTCCTCATACCTAAATGACAGAAATGCTGTTTATTATGTTTGTAAAATCTATACAAATGCTAAAGTATAAACACAACAAGCTTTGGTTTTACGGGTGGTTGTGTGCCAGACTGTTGCTTGGCTGGGAGCAGTAAGGACTAGAAACAAATTACGACGTGAGTATGATGAAATGAACTAAATTTAACACACAACAGCTTTAGATGCTGATTGGTGTATTTTATTTAACCTTTGGACAGAACCAGGCTAGCTGTTTCCCCCTGATTCTTTATGGCTAGCTAACATCTTCTGGCTGTAGCTGCATAATTAACAGACAGATTGGAGAAGTGGTATCCATCATGACATCTAACTCTCGGCAAGAGAGGTAATGAGTGTAGCATTTCTAGTAGTCAATACAGTCATAATTTGTGGCCTAGGAATCTTGCAAGTAAAGCAAGTTCTTACAAGAGGTATGAAAAATGCAGTTGGAAGTCTCACGCTCTTCTCTGTCTTCTCCCCAGCTGCTCTGGGTTTATCTGTGGCCTTCATCTTGAAATTCAGAGACAACATGTTCCATGTGCTGACAGGCCAGATCACCACTGTTCTAGTTACCGCACTCTCCCTCTTCCTCTTCGACTTCCACCCGTCGCTGGACTTCTTCCTCCAGGCTCCCATGGTCCTGCTGGCCATCTTTATCTACAATGCAAGCCGGCCCAGGGACCTGGAATACAGCCTGCAGCAGGAAAAGCTGCGCGTCATCAACGGAGAGGTGTTCGAGAGGTCCAGAGGGGTAGGGAGCGAACCACAAAGACCGCAAAGTAGTCACTAGTCAAGCCCACACACTGATTTTCTAACACAGCGTTGATCACCCTTCCTCTCCTCCCACACATTTCTCTATAATGTGATTTCTTCAATGCAGAAGGAAACCTGATTCCCTGCAATGTAAACAGCATTCAGACTCATGCTGGTGCCTTACCTTGCGTAATTTCATTAGGTCAATGACGTCTATTGGATTTAGAAAGAGGAAGCTATTAAACAGAACAGATGTCTATGTGGGTTATGAGGACACTTTCCTGGAGTTAGCAGGACTTTGAGGTAGTTTCCATGACCAGCACCAAGCTTGGAAAGTTGGAGTTTGGTGATGATACTAATGTTACTGTTGGGAAGACCTTTGTGTCTGCAGGTTTGTTCACTGTATTCCACCTCTTCTGCATGCATTCTGATTTGCTCTTGTTCTCTGTCGTAGGACGGCGAGGAGCTGGAGCTCCTGACAAAGCCCAACACAGACAGTGAATCTGAGGAGGAGTCTTTGTAGAACTGAGTTATGGCTCTCCTACAAAACAGAAGATTTTCTTCTTCGCTGCAGCTAATATTAAGCTGGACGATAGACTTGAACTCTCTGAAGCAGCATGCTCTCAGATTCTGTCAAAGCATTTATTTACCGACTGTCAGCAGTTAAACAGTGAATGACAGTGTTGATGGACTGATGAACTCTGTTGGAAACTTCTGATAACTAAGACTGTTGTGTATATTTTGAAATGTGCCTGTCAATCTATGAGTGCTGTCATTTATGTAGTGGAAGGTACATCAGTGTATGTGCTTGGGAAAACATTGTCACTGTATTCGCCATTTGGGATCATTACGGTTTTCTGTTATGGATAATAAATAATGATTCCTGTTGCAGGTGATTGATTGCTTTAATGACCAGCAGTCAAATTTCAGTTTTTCAGATTGTATTTGACTTTATACTGTTTTGAATTGTTGTTGGCACTGTGTAAAAGAAGTGTTTATTTAGTCAGTATTTAAACACTGTGGAAAACCTAAACAGTCCAGTACACACTCGCAACCTATAGCTTCAGAAATGTTCATGTAATTGTAAATTATATATTAGCTGAAATGTACATACACAACACGACTGTTGTTTCCATTACAGTTACAGGGCGTTCTGTTTTTCTACTCAGAACCAGAGCATTGACATATTAGAGCAGTTAGTATGGCTCAATTTCTGAAAGCACAACAAACTGGTTTAAACTTTTAGTCATATGACAGTATTGATGTATTCCAGCTGTGAAATACTTGCTTCTTTTAAGATTGTTGTCTGTGCCATAACATTTTAACATGTATGAATGTCTGTTCTGAAATAAACTACAATTAAAGTGCTTTACTTTTGTCTAAATATAAGTAACAGTCATGTAATTTAAAAGGTGAAAAATTAACAATTGTGGATGAAAATGCACGTCAGGAGTGGATGGACCCTGAAGAACAAGACATGTAGAAGAATATAAGATAAAGAGGTAAGATGTTTGTGATAAGTTCAATAGAATGTATTTGGGGAAGAAATGATAAATCGACTAGTATTACAACTTTGATTTTTGTTTCCATGAAATTTCCTCCTCTATATCTCAATGTTCTGTATCTCCATTAAATCAATATGGTAATGTTTAATGAAATATTAACAAACAAAATAAAATCTTATCACCCCAAATCAGCTACATCATTACACCAAATAAAACATTCTTGTGTATAATTTTATACACATTTAAGCTAAAGCTTTTTATTTTTTGGAAACCCTGGAGGAAAATCTAGGATTTCCGCAATTCTTGGCTGCACAACATGTTTTTAATAATGGACATACTAAAGGGACCATGAGGAGGTGGTTAAAAGCTATCTTTTTAACTTCTCATTACTACTGTAGTACAGAACATGTTTCTTAATATAAGATAGGGTTGCCTTCATTATTACATGGCCAATAATCCCCAAAGTATTTCCCTTCATCGTCTTATTAGGCCACTAGGAGGAGATGTAGCATAAAAGGCTTGCAATGCATAAGTTTAGACTGAAGCATAGCAGGTGAGCATCAATAAGCTGTGCAGTCAGCAATTCAAAGACCATTACTGGTAATAAACAACTGTTTATTTATCATATTGTACAATAGAGTATAAATAAGAACATTGTATAGCAACAGAAACTTTACAAAAGAGAAATAATCAGACAGTTTATTTTCATAAAATAATCAATAAATGCACCTCAAATGCAACAGATGTCCAATAAATACAAATGTCTTCTTTTAGCCCATTATCTACAAAATAAAGGTTTGTTCTCATAACACAGATATGTAAATTTGATCTGGAATGCAAGTGAAGGAGACACCTAATAACGTGCAAAACACTCTTTGTTTGAAGTCAGAAAAGACAAATCCATTAAACAAAAACTAAGTACATAAGAGATCCCTGAACATCCAGGCTAATCTACACATTTATTGACTAACCAGCTCTGATTAAAGCCCCTTGCAAATTACCATTACTTGCAGCATACTATGCTATATATATATCAAAGAACTGGATAGGTGAAAGCAACCGTTTTGAGGCTTTCACTAAGTGCTACAAAACATTCAAGGACCTCACTCCGTTTGAGCTAACTGCCTGGTGGAGGATTGTAGGAGAGATTAAAAAAGGTTATGGGTGAATGGAAGAGGGCTGATACTGCCAAGCACCAGCTGCAAGGCAGAGGGCGGAGTTAGTAAGAATAGCCCTGGTGATAGCCGTCCTGGTAGCCATGTTCGTATCCATGCTGATGGTAGCCATAACCACCATACTCGTCCTCAGGACAGCGCATGCCCAGTGACTGCTGGATGGCCATTTCTTGTCTGCGAAGCTGCATAGAGTCTACCAGGTCATAGATAATAGCCATGGACCACATGGGTGAAGGATACCAGGACTTTACATTGCCGTCCTTCCCTACTAGCAGCATGGAGAAGTATTCTGGGCTGATCTGAAAGTAGTTCCTCATGTCCTTCACCAGGGTGGCTGACAGCCCTTCACGCTCCACAGTAGCACTCCCTGGACAAAGCAGAGATTCAGGGTAGGAATGACATATTTAATAGATGTATTTTATTCTTACAGCCCTGTTTTCCTTTGCAGACTTGTTTGACATTTACCGTATCTCCACATGCTGAGCTCAAATGCCAAAATCAGAAACCTCCAAAATGTTTCAGCTCTAGTTTCTGCAGTCTTGCATAGGCCTGAACCCCCCCCCCCCCCCCCCCGTTAAGTTAACGCCTTGTTTATTTTGGAGTTCTCTTGAGCAACATCTGCAAAGTCATGAAATGAAATAATTCACATTTTGATTTTAGTCTCCTCCTTTGCAGCAGTGGCAACTCTGTATGCAAAGTTGAATGGAGAGAGAGTTTAATATCAATAACACATCATTGAGGTTCCTCTGGGGACATGGAGGAGTAGTAAGAGGTCCTTTAAGTCTACCATATTCTTTACCATATGATTAAAAGTGGGATACAGAAACACTGGCATGTGCAGGGGATTTGTGTATAAGGAGTGTAGGTCAGGGGCAAGTTTTTGAGGAGGAAAGACAACTGTTTTGACATGAAACAAGTGAATCAAATGTCAGATTGTGGAATGGAATACTATGTGTACTGTGTGCGTGTTTGCTAAAGACATGCCTGGCACCATTTATTATTTTAGAGAGAGAAAGTTCTTACCATTGATGGGATAGAGTTCCAACACTCCGCCCATATCCACCAGCTCCGTACCGACCAACTTCAGAATGGCGATGTGCCTCAGACCTATGTCACCATGGCAAAGACAACCACATTGACAACACACATCAGAGAGAGGCAAATATCTTACAGAAAGAGTCAGACTTCAAACAAGAACACTGTGTCTGTAATAAGCTGACCAACTGTTTTTTAATCTATTGGGCCTTCTTATCCAAGCGGATTTTACTGTGGTTGTTTATTATTGGAACAGTCCTAAGCACTGGTTTCTAGGTAAAGGGAGGAGAACGCGGTGGTCCGGAGAGTCCTGCCAAAAAGCTGTTTCCTCTGAAGCGAGAAAGCCCACATTAAAGCGTGGGCTTTCCTTGCTGAGAGCCAAGTGCTGAATACCAGGATCAAACCTCTGAGGCCCTCAGCCCAGTCAGCAGGACAGCCCTTTGTCTAGGGCAGGGAGGGAGGACAGCCCTGAACAGCCCTGGGTGTCAACCCACAACCAAGAGTAACACATGACGGGAAAAAGTCCTTGCAGACCCCGATCTGGGCCTGCTGATAAGCAAGACAAGCTGTTTGCTTCAGTCACCTGATCCACTCATATGGACAGTGTTCAGAAATACATACAGTACTGGTGTCACAAATGGGTTGTGGCAAGTTTGGTGTGGCATATACATACCGCATAATCAATAACTATTGACCTTTTATGGTTAATACATAATTTGTAAAAGCTTTATAGATCAATAAGAAACCATCAATAAGAACACTCTTGGTTTTCAGGATATAAAAACACATTTAGCTACTGAGCATAATCAGCAAAATTATCCAAATGTCATGAATTATTTTAAGGGAAAGACACCTTTAGAAATTATTAAAAGAATAACTTCCTGTCACATCCTGCTGACATCCAGTGGTAACTACATACAGGTGTAATTCAGGAACCACCACTTTTGGGTATGGTTATAGGTGCAACAAAGTAAACCTTTGACGACACCCAGTCATAATCATCAGCGATGAGCTTATCTGCCTGGTATGGGTACTCTTTAAAGACACTTGTAGTGTAGTGTAGTGTAGTAACTGCAGATTTGTTATAAAGACACAAGAAGTGGGTGGCAAAGGAGCAGTGGATAACGCACATGCCTTTGGTGTGAGAAACACAGGTTCGATTCCCACTGTTCCACATCCACCATTGTGTCTCAGAGCAAGACGCTAAACCCCTAGTTGCTCCAGAAGCGTGTATAACAAATAAGTAAATTGCTTTGTATAAAAGCGTCAGCTAAATGTAGATGCATCATTAATAAAGGTCTTGAGAAATACGTTGTTGCTCTGCATATCCTTTTAAAGATCAAATGGTCCACTAATAACATAAAGCCTGAGCTAAAAGGTAAGGCAGGAGACGTGCAAACACCAGTCAAACCCATAACTTGTACTAATTAGAGGATTATTACTAATTACCAGGATTATTACCATTAAAGCACTGGTGATGAATGATTTATTAGGCATTAATAAACCTGTTAATTACAACTTATAAACTTATTGCAAAGTATGCCTGTGGCACTAATACACACATTTAGCTGACTTATTCTTATGACAGAGTGACTTGAGAGTGCAGCGTAAATTGAAATTCCACAAACGCTCAAAATATAAAGAAAACATGGCCTTGGGCTCAAACATTAAAATGTAGCTGAATGTGTGGTCATTTCTTTCTTACTTCATGAACTGTCTTCAGAAAAATCAAATGGCACATAGTGCAAGAGTCAAAGTCATAAATGTGATGAATATGTCTATGTTCCTGCTCTGTGAGAGAGTGCTAGGGAAAGAAGGAAGAGCCAGCGAGAAATGTCAGAACACTTTAATTTCATAAACAAGGCTGGAACATGAGGTTCAAGTAGGGGAGAAACTCCACATGACAGTATTTATTTGCAGTATTTTACTGAGAAGTGTTCAACATGGGCTATTTAATGTTTATCTTAGATAAATCTGTCAGACACGTCAGGCTGTTGAAATTTGCAAAGTTTAGATAAATGTCTCTTTTTGAGATAACAGTAATATTTAAGCAACTGTGGAAAAGTTGACTAACTGGCAGACTGAAAAGGCTGTCGTCAGGGAAGGAAAAGAGCTTGTTAGTCCCAGACAGAACAGTTCTGTCATCTGGAATCCCTCTGCACATCCTCTGTGCACAAACACACACAGTATTCATGTTGTTGTGTAAATCAGAAACTGATTTAAAAAATATATTTTGAGCATTTTTGTGCCTATATTTAATGAAATTAGAAAGTATTGTATTGAAAGTAGAGAGATGACAGGGAATGAGGGAATGACATGGAATAAAGCTGCACAGCCGAATGCAAACAACAGGTGTTAGAGTTCATGGTTCACAGCTTGTTTCCACTGCCACCAAGTGGCCAAGAAATCAATTATTGCAGATTTAAGGCACCACTATTGCATCAGGGTAGCAGCAGTATTACTAGTGATCTTAAAATCTCTGCAAATAATATTCTCTGCATGGCTAAATTCCACGAAAAGTAAGGGCAAAAAAGTCTGAGTTGTTTTTTATTTTCGTGAACTGACCCTTTAAAGTTCCCTTCCTGACTTCAGAAAAGTGAATTAGTTAGTTAGAGTTAGTTTTAGAGTGACTCACCAAGGTTGCAGGCCTGGCTGGTCAGGGCGTAGAGCTGCTGCTGATAGGCCCACTCCTCGTCGTTGGGGGCAGAGATGATGAACAGGCGACGTCTCCAACGGAACCTGCAATCACAGAACATTTTAGCCTGGACTTAAGTGGCACTTTGGTGCAGCAGTGAAAGCTCCGTGCTAAGACAAGGAGTTTGTGCTTGTACACTAACATATTCCCATACTATTACTGTCAGAGGTTGACAACCCTGAATTATGGTCAAAAACCTGCCAGATCTCAGCACTGTGATCTGGAGCTGGAATTCAGGTTCCCATGGTAACAAAAGACAGACCTGTCTGGTTTAGACATCTCAGGAAAATATGTGATTGTAATGATTCATTCTGGAGGAACGGGAGGGATTTATGCTACTTTAAATATCCGTGGAACACAAACAGGCTGCCAAATGCTGCTTGTAAATCCTACAAAATGTGGTCCAGATTATTGAGCTTATTTCAAGGAAGCAGAAACAGCCTGGTGGTACCATCCAATAACTCTGATTACCAGCTCCTCACAATTCAAGGTGATTCTGTTTTTTTAGTCCAACAGCTTTATTAAAGCAAATTCCAATGAAGCAGATATATTCACATTTGGAAATCCCTTTAATGTGGTTGGTGGTTATTTTTATGCACATTAAAAGAAATACTACATGGAAATACTTTTGGGTACTTTAGGGGCATTTTATTAGGGTTTGGGCAAGTTTCAATTAAGTGAAAAATGCTTTCTACGTAAACATTGTTTTTGAGAATAGTGTGCTACCAACTTTGTGGTAACAGTTAACAGTTAATCATCAAACATAACAATACTCCCATGGACAAAGCCAACTGCATACAGACATGGTTTTCTGAGTTTGTTGTGGGAGGACCCTGAGCTCAACCCCATCCAACATCTTAAGGAAGAATTAAGAGCTGCAAGCCAGATCTTCTCACCCAACAACAGTGTTCATCCTCACTAATGCTCTTGTGGCTGGATGGGAGCAAATCCCTGCAACCAGGTTCAAAAATGGTTTGGATATATTCACATCCGTGGGTGTAATGTTTGTGGTCTCCACATAGTTTTAGAAAAAAACTTTACCTGGAAAGGAAATTCTCCAATGATCTGGGCTTGTCCTCTTTCTTACAGACAACCCCGTCTCTCTTCTGCTGCTCCATCTCTCGGATGCGGGAGGAGAAGGTGTCAATGTATCAAATACGGCCTTCATGGCGATGGGAACCTCATAGGCTTGCTGACAAAATAACATAGGCAAGGTAGATTCGAAAAGTGCACAAAGCCACAAGATTAACAAATCAATATGCCTGTGAAAAAAATCTGGAAGCGACACAGAGGACAGAATTCCATTGCTTGAAACGATGGAGAAAGTGTTTCCAATGAAGTGATGAAGTGAAGTTTTTGAACATGTTAGTAGATGTGGTGTGGCCTTTGCCACATCACAGGCATTCTTCACAATAACTTCTGGGAAGGAGCACAATGCATTTCGGTTAAACAACAGTATCCCATGTAATTTGCGAAATGCTAGACTATCTCAGCATGAATATGTAACACACGCAAGAACATGTAACAGCCATATGCACACTCTCACGCCTTACGATGTGCTGAATGTGCTGCACAGCTCGTTCTAACTCTTTCACACCTCCCTCTACTCTGCTCTCTTTGCCACTTTTGGCCTCATACCCACACCCACATCCTTGTACATTCACAGACTTCCCTGTCTCTGACTCTGTCATCAGAGAGGCGAACACTGGCCTCTTTGATGAATCTGTCCAAAAACAGCTTGGCATGCGCACACACACACACACACACACACACACACACACACACACACACACACACACAGGAGGCAACAGTGTTTTAGTGGAGACGGATCAGTCCACCTTCAAAGGTACCGAGAAGATGAAAGTGTTGGGCAGATGGATGGTGAACCTGTAAACAGAGTTCTGAGACCTATAACCAACAGCAGCGCCATGAATTAAACAGAATAAGAGCAAGTATTTTAACCTTAGAGCGAAAATAGAAAGAAAATAGAAAATTACTTAATGTCAGTGTGCTAAGATGCTCAAAATGACAATAGTAACATATTGATGTTCAGCAGATAACGTTGACCATGTTCACCATCTTTGTTTTTGTTGTTAGCATGCTAAAATGTCCAAATTAGCTCTAAGCATAATGTGCAGCTGAGGCTGATGGGAATGTCATTAGTTACCTGATAATGGAATGAGATGACAAGTTAATGGATGCAATTGTATATATGCACGCTCACACAGATTTGTATATGACTATGTATGTATAAGTACACATATATTGTGTCTTTTTCTGTCTTTAGTGATGCATTCATGTAAATCAATGTGGGCTTCACTTTATTCAGAACACATATTTATTTTCTTTGTTTTAACTTTTATTTTAATTAATGTTTAATAAAGTATATTTAAAAAGTTAAGGGATGACCAAAACCCAATAATGACATCAATAGAGCCATGCGTGGCTAAAAATTAGATGGTCACATAATATTTCTTGAATTGCCCTAGGTAGCCTGAATGCTTCCATGAACAATTGTCTGCTGTGCTATGGATTGAGGGAGGAAACCAGTTTTATCCTCCAAATTCAGGCAAAGGACATCTGACAGATCTCAACATATTCTGTCTAGAAGGACTTTAGAGGACCCAGCCCATAACTTAGGGACACAGCTATAGAGAGCGAGTTCTTACCTTGACTTTCATGTCGCCGTCAGTGAGGACCATGTAGAAGTCATCATGTGTCATGCTAAACTCTTTCCTCAGCTCTGTGATCAGATCCTGGTTCACTAAGTCCTCCTGACGAAGACCCTTCATAGGCTTGTCATTTTCTGGAGACAAAATGAGACAGTGGGACAGTTTATACTTGTTAAATGACACTATTTGACTGTGAAGGTAATTAAATGTTTCTTGTAGAGAAAAGGCTTGTGCAATGCAGCAAGTCAAATATACATTTGCAAGGTGAGTAACAGATTCAAATATGTAGTATTATAGTTACACAATATTCTGTGTAATTAGTCATAACCTGACATGTTAGGCCTCCAGTGTCAATATGAGGAACGTCTGAGACTTATCTGCTGTACCCGTACTTTCCCTTTCATGGGACCCCTCCCTATAAACGCGGTCTCCCACTGTGTAGGAGCTGCAGTTGCAGTTACATCATAAACATAGGAGTTTGATTTTTACCACTGTTTTCAGAATAAAAAGAGATCACCTCCAAAGATATTCTCTATTTCATAACACAACGCACGCAACTCTAGACACCATCGGTTACAAATATTCAGTAAAACCAGTGAAATCTAAACATAAGATAATAATTTCTGACATCTCAGCTTTTTCTCTGATGTTATGCCCCAAAGAAATGCGAGTGAAAAATGTAAATATACGAACTTTTTGTTCACGAAACTGTCCCATCTGACAAAGAAATACATAACTGTTAGACTTCTTCATGTAAAATGATGCACGATTGTGATTTCCCATGAACAGTTCCCATCAAATAAGCCACAATAACACAAACATAATGTGAGTGTGCAGCTCTGAAACCTGAGGAGTAAAACGTGTTTTCAATTGCTACGCTCAAAACATAGTTGCTTTGAAAAATGTGTCTGACAGAACAGTGAAGTACGCTCTGCTGTGAAAAGCAGAATAAAAACATCCAGAGTGAATCAGGGACAAAGAGAAGCTTTACTCACTGAAATCTGGCATGGTCTGATGCCTTAGATGTTTACTGTAGCTGGCCAAAGCAAAGGCCTTCAATCACCGCTCCCTCGATGCATGTGTGCACAACACACGTTTTATACATTATTCTGCAATACAGCCACATTTCATCAGGAATCTAATTTTCTGAACAGTGCAGCATATTCAAGCAGATTACACTTCATCATGGGTGTACTCGTTGACATAATGCTGTGGTTTTGGTTTGTTACATTTTCCTGCTCTATTCTTGTTTATGCCCTTCCTCTTGTGGTTATCTCTCCCTGTCTCTGTATTCTCATCCCCTGTCTGTGGTTGTGTTTTGTTTGGTCATTAAATAATTTTGTTAAATTACTCCTTATGTGTTTTTGTGTGCTTTATTTACTTGGTCTATTTTGAAGTTGTCTGTGTCTGGTGTCCGTGTCCAGCTTTGTTTCCTGTCTGTGTCTTCCCGTTACCTGATTACCTGATGTGTCTCACCTGTCCATGCACCCTCCCTGCTCGTGTGTGTATCTGTATATATTGTCTGTTCTAGTCAGTCTTTGTTGCATCTTCATTGTCTGTCGAGCATCAACGTCTGTAGATTCTTATTAGGGGTGTGGGAAAAAATCGATACAGCATAGTATCGCGATATTTTCCGCGGCAATATCGTATCGTAACACGGACGTCAAGCATGTTTTATATATAAATTGTACATGAGAAGTTTACTTTTTGGTACTATAATAATAAAATCAATTGTTTTTTCAATCCACTTGGAAAAGAGTTTTCCTTTGGGGACACAATTTGAAGTTGGGAAAAAGATTAAAAAATTACAATAAATTGCAATATGTTTAAAATCGCAGTAATATTGTAATGTGAAATAGGTATCGCGATAATATCGTATCGTAGGGCATCTGGTGATTCCCACCCCTAATTCTTATCTGTTCGATTTTTGAACTCTCGATTTATGTTTCCACCTGTGTTTTCGTGTACTGTCTGCCACGATTGCCGGTAAGCTTGGGATATTAGTAAGTGCTTTAAAAATATTTTGAACTGCTCTCTAGTGTCTGCATCTGGGTCCTAAACTCTGAATTTCCTGCCTCAACACCCAGCCAGTCCATGACAAATAATGCATTCCCTAGCCCCTTACCCTAACCTTTACCATCACAACCAGCCGGGACCTAAATTCGGTTTGGTGGTTGTTTCACCCACTCTGTGCTGTGTAATGTGTGTGAGCAATCAAATCAGGAAAACCCCATCACATGCTGGAGACAGCAGACACACACACTGACTTTACAGAAATATACAACAAACAGCAGCACACGTTTTATGTTTCATAACTTAAAAATCAAACACCATGATGTCACTCTAAACTGAGGGAGGGGTATCACTGAAAGAACCACTTGTTTGTATACAGTACATGCCTCACACACACTGACACACACACACACACACACACACTGAAACTCTGGCTAGTCAGTGGAACAAAAGTATAACCGTGTCCTACCACGGGTGGGGGTGGGTGACGTCACCTCTGCACTTTTTCCAGCATTCCATCTTTATAAAACCCCGTTGTCATGTGGAGTGACAGACTCATAACGTTTTACAGAGTGGGTTTGTATGTCCTGACGTAAACACGCAGTAACCAAAGTCCCAGGTTAAAGACAGCTATAAAATGTCTCAACATATGAGGCGTTGCTGAGCTCAAATGACACAGCACATCTCATAAAAACAGCAGTGGTTTTGTTCTCTTTGAACAAGTAGTGAGCAGTTTAATAAAAGGGAGATTTTCTAAAGCTGTCATAATTGCATTGTTCGCATGGGTGTGATGAATTAACTCACTCCAGCTTACACATCAGCTCCAGGGGAGGCAGACTTACCCCCTTGTTCAGGTTGATACACAAGAATGGTATGTATTCTGGATGTGGTTTCCCCTCCAGCCCTGATACAAACCCCTGTACTTTAATAACCGATGAACTCATCTCACTTCTCACAGGAAGACCAACACACGCACATCTTATCACTATAAATACAATTAAAGTGTAACACAAAAGTACTCTTATTGAGAGAGTTAACACCATGAGATTACATGCACATTAACATCAGAGCACAGAAGCCAAGATCACAGGAATCAGAAGTCTGTCTAGTATCACCTGCACAGAGATGTACACAATACTGTGGCTTGTGTACATCCTGAATGTTATACTGAAGGTAGAACAAGGACAGGACAGTAGACGTAACTCCTCTCTTGGCCTCCCTCTTAGTGTGGAGAACAATCACTGATTAAAATTTCCCATGTAGCTTCACTAGCAATTATAGCATGTCATACGGGGAAAATGTGACTGAAAACATGTCAGTGTTCACAACTCACTGACTACTACTGAGTAAAATTATATTTTTTTAAATAACAAATACAAGGGTGGCAAGAATAGAGTTAAACATATTTTGGTTAATTTTAAGAAATACACTATAATATTTTGAAATACAGCAGATCACTTCCATTGAATTACTTAAATTATACTGGATATTTTACAGTGTACAGATACCTAACTAAGTTTATTTTAGCTTTTAGAAGGGAGCTGAGGAGAGCACAGTAGACAAGAATGTGGTAAGATTACAAGTTAGTACAACATGGGTACTTTAGTTGGAGATAATAGAAAACTGCATGTCTTTTTTAAATGTAGGAAGTCCTGAATACTGTCTGGAAATCCAATTAAAAAAAAAAGATGCAAAATGTGCAGCTCATATCTCAAATTCTGGAAATGAGTACCACAGGATTACATGCACACATCAGAACACATAAGGCAATATCAAAGCGAACAGAAGTCTTTCTACTACCACCTGCACGGACGTACACAAGACTGTGGCTTTGGCAGAGTCAGTGTACATTCTGAACGTTATACTTGGAGCAGAGATTGTTGTTCCTCATCAACGCAAAAACCTGTTGCCATTTCTTCTACTTCTTGAGAGTTTCAGTTGACTGAGTGCTCACAAAATCAAACAACAGCTCAATTTCACTGTGAGTTTAAAACATGGAAAACCCCCATTGAGACTTCAGATTCTCATAAACAGTTATTCAGAGTTGGTGCATGACTCAGCAACTGCAAGGACCACAGCAAAGAATCCATTTGTCCATCCAGATGGAAGAGCTGTATAGGTTAGATGCCTGAGATAACTGGCAATCGTCTATTGCCCAACCTATTTGAGTTACAAACAAATGCTATTTGAACCTTCCCATACCGTGATGAGAGAAGTGAAATGGTGTGCTACAGTGGCAATGCGTGTGGGAGATACATACCCAGCTGGTAATGGTCAATTTTCATGGTGGAGTTGGTCAGGGAGCCAAAGATGGTGATGATGGAAACTTTCCTGATGGCCATTTCACACACAGACTCGAGGTACTCGTCCCTCTGCTGAACATACATACTGTTCTCCTCACTGGGGGATGTAATCAGCTGGAGGGTGGAAGGAAGGGAGGGAGGAAGGTTAGAGTGTCATCTATACGCAATAAGACACACACACACACACAGTGTGCTGCAGAGGTGGTGTTTACATTAACGTGTAGGCGGAGGATGAAGCATATTTTCCCAGCCTGCCCACAGCACTGCTGTGATAAGAATCTATACTGGCTGCAAAACAGAGACACACAGTCTGTCAGCTCACAGCTGTGCAGCCTGTCAGATGGCTGCTCCACATACTGTATCCCTATTCATAATACAAACCTGAGATATTATAGAAAATAAAAAGAGAAACAAGTGAATTTTCTGCCCCAAGCTCAGAGGTTTGTTGACGGGTCAACTACACTGAACTTGTATTCCTTATCCAGATGTTGAGATCTTCTGGCTTATAACTTTCCTGTACTTTGTTTTGGAAAACAAACACACTCTTATTGGTGTTGCAATATCCCATAGATCACCTGCTCCTACTCCACATTTCCAGCTGTTCAGTGATACAGTATGGTGCTACGTCCAGCTTCACAGCTCATTTTGGCTGAAAACTCTGAAGCCAGTTAAAAGTGGAAGTCAGTACAAAGCAGTTTTGTCAGGTATTTATGATTCTGATATTTAATGGTTTTGCCAGACATTTCTGTTGGATCTCTTATTATCTAGCTGGCATGTTTGGCACTCTGTCTCTTAATGTGCAAAGAAGAGACTTATCTAGGTAAACATAGTAACTTATATTAGTTCCAGCCATTACTAATGTAGAAAACCCAATGAACATTCAAATTTAAAGGAATATTTCAAAATGTTGGGAAATTATTATTTGGCTTATTTGCTTTCTTGCGGAAAAAGATAGACACCACTCTCACGTCTGTATGGGAAATATGAAGCTACAGCCTGCAGCCATTTAACTTAGCTATGCATTGAGAGTGGAAGCAGAAGCCTTGCAGAAACAGGAGATTGTCCAGACTTGGGGTCAGACGAGAGAGGTACTGAGCCTCTTATGAACTGTGAGTTGTGTCATGAACTCACCAGCAGCCGCCTCCTGTTCTCAAAGTAGTCCAAGAAGGAGGCCAGAGATCCTTTTGGTGGGGGTGTTGGCTTCTTAGTGGGCTTTGGGAAGTCCTCTTTCTCAGGGTACTTTAACAGCTTCTTTCCATTTTTCTTTCCCCCGATTTTTACTCCTCTCCTGTCCGCTTTCTTGGCAGCCTTGTCATTCTTTTTCTTCTTCTTGTCGTGCTTGCCCTTCACCTTCTTGGTTGGACTGATGTCAGTGAAGGTTTCTGTCTCCCCTGGATCACTGACTGTTGGTTTGCCGGCTACAAACTTGTCCTCGTACTCATTAGTCAACACCTGCACAGATGAATAACACATAACATTTGCACATAAATACATTTCCATATTTCTTACTAATTAAAATAACCCAGTTCACAAGAATGTTCAATTTTTTTTTGTGTCTCATAAATCTTTCCTGGCAATTCTCCTTGTACACACAAAAAGTTAGGCAACAGCAGTTAATCTGGCTGTTAGCATAACCAGCACAAAGCCACACATCCATCATATTTGGCACTTTAATTTAAAAGGGCCCAGAGCGATATAAACTCTATTACTGAGAAAATAATACTTTTTTAAACAAGATTTTCTAAAATACAGTGTCATGGCTGAACAGAAGACTTCTTCAACACACAAGAAGAAAAAGACACCTCTGGGAGGGTGCACTGCATAATGCAAAAACAGCATAATTTAGCCTATTTTAGTTCACCCATGTAATCTACATCTACATTTTCAAAACTATTTTAAGTAAACTGTTTTAGTAATGATGTTTTCCATAGGTTTAGCAGTCTATATACAGAATAATCCAGTATCTTCAACCAAGTCCAGTTGCCCTTGATTTTAACCTTCGTTGGATAACTATGACCTGGATGACTGAGAATCTTCATAGACATACAGAATAAACCCAAACTTTTACCAAACCAAATATATTATGCCGGCAATCAAAAAGAAACTGGTATACCTATATGCAACAATTCAGCTAACTTTCATTGAATCACCTTCTCTCCGCCGTTCTTCCTCTTAGTGGGTTTGATCTTGGAGGGTTTATGTGTGGCAGGTACCAGCTTGCGGCTGTGCGGATCTCTGTTGTCCTTGTCAGTGCGGTTATCTCCAGCCGGGGTGGTTTTAGCCGGGTACCTCTCCCTCTCTCTGCGGTTATAGTAATAAGGATCAGCAGTGGTTCTGGGGGCTGGGAGCCATTGGGCTGTGGTAGGGGATCTGGTTGATCTCTGGGTAGTGGTAGTTGTGGTGGTGGTGGGTCGTTTCGTGGTGGTTGTAGTGGTTCTTCTTATGGCGGGTTTGGTGGTTGTTGTTGTTGTTGTTGTTGTTGTTGCTCTGGTTGTGGTGGTGGTAGTGGGGGGCCGGGTTGTAGTAGTTGTAGTCGTGGTTGGTCGCATAGTTGTCGTTGTGGTGGTGGCAGCTGTGGTTGTTGTTGTGGGCTTTCTGAAGATCTTCTTCCCTGGTTTTCTTTCTACTGGTGTATCTACTGCTCCACATGAACAGGAAGATAATAGATAAAAGGTTTTATGGACAGGGGACAGTCAATTGCTTCAACAATATAACATCAGTCCAATAAAGTTTAACTTGTATTGTTGTGTCAAAATGCATTTTCAACTATCGAAAGATGACATGCTTAATCAGTGTAGGCTAGTGTCTACAGCTAAAATGCTGTTTTCAGTCTTTGTAAAGACTGGGATCATGGTTTAAAAGGAGCTCTTCACCCAAGTTCCACAAAAACATACTTTCTCACTTCTCCTCTAGTGATATGTAGCCATGCAGATTTCTTCGAGATTGTGCAAGAGATTTCAACAGCAGTGTTTCCTTCCAGGAACATTGTCCCCTTAACTCTGGATCATCCATAGTTTTAAATCATAGTTTCCATTGAAACCATTTTCTTCTTATGAAATAGCCCCTATGAAAAATAGTTGTCAGAGTGTTCCGTGTTGAGTAACGAGGTAACATTACTATTTTTGCAAAGAGATGTCTTTTTTTTATTGCTGTGAGAACCACAAATAAAAACACATTCATAGCCACTAAGAAGAAGTCTCACAAATATACTTCTCAGAATGTGGTCAAAGTAAACCAAAATGGCATGGCTAGATTCCACTAGAGATAAAATACGTTTGTTTTTATTGTCATTTGTGTGAACTGAGCCTTTAAGTAGTGATCATTTTCAATCATTCCCCGCTCACCTGTGAGTGTGCCTTCCTCCACCTGGCCCTCCACACCTGCTTCTCTACACTTCTGGACGAAGCCTTTCTGTCTGAGCTTCTCCAGCTTCCTCATGGGTGACTGGTCAATCACCTCATACATGGCCTCCAGCCTCACCGGGTAGGGGTACCGCTCTTCCACCTGCAGGGTCTTCTTCAGCAACACCATCCCAAACTTACCTGCAGGTCAACACATTGCTGATCAGATTTGGATACACCAGAAAACATCCTGTTAAGTACTTCAGGGCCAAGACACATTACTTACCTTTCTCCAGTTTAAGGAAGCTCATGAGTCTGGGGATGAGTGCTGTGTCCAGAGGCTCCTCCATAACCTTCCCCTCTGTGGTGATCCTCCTCACCTTGCCCCCCATCTCTCCCTCCTGATGAAACATGACAACCTGGTGGACATGTCGCTCGGCGAGCTCGCAGTACACATCTGGTTTCAGAAGAGACATCATCAGTCGGAAATATCCGTCTGAATCATGGGGCGCCGAGATCACCAGGACGCGGTTCTTCCCCGCGAAACTGGCCAGCAGATTTGGTGACCCGGCGCTGCTGGGCATCCGGGCGACCCTGGCTCTCGCTCCTGGAGTGCCCTCATCTTGCAGCGTGTTGGGTTGAGGAGGTAAGCCAATCTGTCCGGCCACCCCTCTACTTGGCACAGGAACGCCACCTCCTGCTCTCTTTTCCTGCACAGTGCCTGTCCTGGCGGAAACTGGAACAACCTCGTCAGCCTGCACACCTTCCCCGTTCCTGGAGCTGTGCACCGAGATTGCCGAGCCAAACCCGGGGCGAAAACGTCCGACTAGACTCTCCTTGTCCGTTGCGCCCAGCTGGGCACGTCCCTGTCTTGCGCGTCTTTGAAACTGCACCCGCTTGAGGTGAGTCTGTTTGTCTGCTTCGCCTGTCCAGGTTAGCAGATATATCAAAGCTAAACTGAGAACAAAAGCCCTCTGCATTCTGGCGAGATGTCAGATAAAGTAGGCTAAACACTCACTGAGGGAAAGCTAACGATCCAGTGGTGGAGCCGTGATCCTGACGCGTCTTTAGTGCATTTGACGTTTAATCAATTAATTGCAGATGAAGATATACAGTGTACATACAGCAGGATCGGCACATAATAATAAACAGCGGTCGGCTCCAGAAAGTGCCTTCTGCTAAGGAAATCCACCTCAGTGACAGACAAGGCGAATAAGAGAAGAGTTTGTTGTGCGTAAATAGTTATATCCAGAACTTCATCTCAGCATCACTTCCGTTTACAAGTATAATCCAAGGAGTTTAGAAGTATAGCCTAGATAATCTCTGTTACACAAACATCCACAACTTTGAAACAATTCCTCAGCCCCCAAAGAAAACGAATAAAGTCTTTCGGCGAAAAGTTTTGGACTCCAAAATACACTCACGCTTACGTTTACATCCTAATAACTTAATTTATCCAAATAATCCTCGGGCATTGTTTATCTCCACTAAACGCTGGGTTGATCTTCTGGGCGCAGGAAGGGGGAACCTCCGACAAAATGCAAGAAATTCGCACAGTCTGAACCTCGCTGGAAACCTGCGCTGAGTCTGTACAGGAAAACGCGCCTGTGCTTCTGCCCAGGTTCTCCTTGGCAAAACTGAGTGCTGGAGGCTTTCCCAGAAATGTCCACACAAACCTCAGCCTCCGGACTCTTGGCGACGCAATGGCAGGACCTGCCCCGGGGCTGTCGTTTGCCAGTTCAGTCTGCAGCACCCATTTCAACAGAGATATAAAGTTTCTGTCCCCGCGCAAGGATAGTTTTAGGTTTCACTAAAGCACAACATATTAGCAAACTAAAAGCAGCCTACATTTGAAAATATGTAAGAAAAGTAAAACATTTTGCCCCCCTGCTGGCCGGATTACCGGGAAAGAAATGACCATAATCAGACTCAGTGTCAAGTTCATCCTGCAAAGCCAATAGAGAAACGCCCCCAGACCTCATCCCCATCCACCACGGTTTTCCCCAAGTGGACCGTTGTTTCCCATCTACCTCCAGAAGGCTGCTCCTTATTCTGGTGTAGAAATTACACATAAACACATGATTTAGATGGAAATACAGTGCTGGTGTATACCTGAACTTAGAGGCTGACCATGCATTTACTGTTTATAGTGAGAAAAAGCACAAGAGAATGTTGTCTTTACATGTTTATTGCCAAAATACTATAATTGCAATGACTGTCTTTACTCTGTTATGATGGCTCATTTAGCCCAAATCAGACTATTTCCATTTCCTCTGAGAATGTTTCCCAGTTTGGCTTGTAATTAAGGCCTAAGTAAAGAAAACCACTAGGTCTGAGCCAAATCCACTCTCACTGCAAAAGCAAGACACTATACAGCATGTGCCACTGACACAGCATGTATAGCTGCTGTATAGCTGGTGGTTTATACAAAATGGATTACATTTATATCTACCTGCACAAAGTATGCAATAACCAATCTTATATTTCTATAACACATTCATTACTAGAAATCATATCTTTAATATTCTCTTGGTTTTGCTGCATGTGACATTTGTCAGTAACAAAATATCTGGAAAGAATAGACATTCCTGCCCAGCCTTTGGTAAAGTGATGCTTTAAATAGTCCTAAAACAATTAAAAGTCTTCCAGAATGCTCTCAACTGTGAACCAGCCCCATCTAATTCCAGTCCTCAACCTAAATCCACTTCATGTAAAAAAAAACAACAACCTCCAATTGACCTCATACTCTGTTTTGCCTCAAAACCACAACCGGGAAGAAGAGGATGCTTACCTCGTTATTTACACCATCAACACACACTCAGCTACTGGGTTGTATTTAGATAACATTGGATGTACTCGGTTGTCATCAGATGATAACAGCCGCAGGACAGAGAGTGAGTGTTCATGTGTTTTCAGCATATTTGCATTAAAGTCAAAAAGAAGATAGCGATCATGCTCCTGCTATGGTGGGTTGAACTTGTCAAAATAGGGCTTGGATATGTTCAATCTGTCTCTGTGAGGTAACTTATTGTGCTGTCAGCATTACACAGAGCACTGTTTGCTACATGCGTCCTATTCTGAAGTCCACAGAGGTCTCTAAGATTAACTCTGTAATTACATTTGCTGTGTGCAAAATCACTGTGGTCCTCTGCCCACTACACAGACTGTTCACTTCACTCTGAATGAGCCAGAGTGCAAATCATTCCCAGGACTGCCAGATGAACCATATATTTTACTTCCATCCGGATGGTTCTTTATTAAAGACCTATATTACATTCAGACAAACCAGTAAAGTCAAATAAGTGGCGGCCCACCTTCATATGCAAGTACACATGCATCTCACATGGGAAGCAGATGCATAAGCCATAGCACAGGTTTAAGATACAAAAATGATATACTGCATGTGGTTTTCACATGTGCAACTAATTCTGACCTATTGGCCCCAAGATCTGATAAATCATTAGTGTTACTTCATTTTCTGAAGTTTACAGCATTTCTTTTACTGATATCTGTACATCAGATATCAGTGTCTCTATGGCAACCTTCATTTTTCATCTGTTTTTCAGTAAAGGGTAACTTTAATACTTTCCCATGTTTTTGTGTCTATGTTACTAATTGGGACAACATTTTTTGAAATTAGTCCAGTGTTGAGCAAGCACGCTGGATTTGGAAGCGGTGTGACAGGGCTGCAACGTAATCCTTGGGAGCCATCGTGCCTTGTCAAATTATGTCCACTGAAGTGCTTGTTTTTGCCACTGACAGGCTCAGTTTGTTATTATAAGGGGTCTGACAGCATTATGGAAAGGATCCCTACAGAGATGGACCCTTTTTAAAAAAGAGTAAGATCCCTTTGTCTAACCACCTCACTCCCTTGACAAAAACTGTCATTTTACCTCTTCTGTCTACCTCTGCCTCGTTTAGTTAGTTTGTGTTATAGTGTCACTTTGGTGTTTTTAACCCTTTAAAAGTTACCCAACAACACAAACAAACTTAGTGACCTAGGCAGCGGTAGACCAGCAACTCCCATGTTCTGCAAGGTAAAATTTTTGTGATAAAATGTTTTTATCAGTGGATTCTGTAAGGGCAGAAAATTGTTTTATATATTGTTTTAAATCTTTTCCCTTTTTATTATTGTTCTTGTTATTCCAGTCTGTCCACATGTGTGGGGTTTAGGTCAGGTTGATTGTTTTCCTCACTAGCTGTTCTTCTCCTTCCTTGACTGGGACCAGTCAAGGATCTTTTGTTCCCCAAAACAAAGATGCTCAGACTGTGTAAATGATCATGCAGCCCTTTGCTGAGGGCCAGACGTTAGTGACTGTCTTAGGAGACAGAACCTCTGGTCCAGCTGATTTTGTTGCGGTACTTCTCTGTTTATTCTCTTTTGTTAAATAAATTCTTCAAAGACAATGGTTTGTTGTAACTCAATTATTTGCTCAACCTCTCACCAGGAATATATTTCCACGACAGATTCTAGTGGTTTTGACGAAAGTGATAGTGACAAATAGTGTTGTAGTACTCGACTCTTAAGACGACTTTTTGATGGTCTTGGTCTCGTCTCAGACTCGACTGCTTTTGCACTCGGTCTTGTCTCGGTCTGGGACATTGAGGACTCTGGATTTTATTTCAAGACCAGTCAAGACCATAACTTTGGGAATATCAATAAATTGCTTTTAAAAAATATTGCTTTAAATCCAACCAATAACCCTAATTAAAAATGTGTTGTTATTGGTAACGACTGTCCCCTTTCCCCGCAAAGGTAAACATGGAAAAGGAGTGTTGAATAAAGATGCTTACGTTGATTTCAGCTCTTAGTGTTTGTATGTGGGTGTTTCAATGGGAATGTGGATCTTTGAGATCAATTTGAGAACTACCTATGATGTCGTTCCACATTTGTTTTGTGTCATGTACTGTGGGGAACTGGTCTTGGACTTGGCTCTGTCTTGCCCTCCCTCGGAATGGTTTCGACTTGGTCTTAGCCCCTAAAGGTTTTGGTCTTGATAAAGCCTGGTCTTGGTCTTGACTTGGTCTCGGTCTTGACTACAACACTAGTGACTAATCTCGGAAAACAAACATTATCACCATGTTGTCTTTTAGTTAAGTTTAATTGGTAGTAGCTTTTAAAACTGCTGTGTGATTGGCACCCATCAATACATGTCTTGTGTCATTTTTTCTGTTTTACTTTTTAACTAGTATGTATTTACATATATTCTGAATTAAAAAATAGTATGCTATGGAAATGTGTATACAGTACAAACAGTATGGTATTCGTATGGACCTGGGCACAGCTCAGAACTGAGCCCTTAGGAAAACTTAAGGAAACTTTGTTTTAGAAAGAACATTCAGGCTTTTCTGCACCACCTGTCTTCTGTTAAATCCCACACAAAGTTCATACTCATCTGGCTCTCATATGTTCTGTTCAAAGGCTTTCTTGGTGAGTGTAATAGGTCTCAAACTTCACTGACAGCTTGAGTCTGTCTGAGATTTAGAGCTCAAAAGGTCCTGATAATTCTCATCTGTCACATAAAACAGGCAGTGGTGTGTTGGTGAGTGACAGCCTGTAACATCCTTATTTTTTTACATGGACATGGTTAGGTGGATGGGGCCACACATTGGAGTTTTCTCACACCCCATTTTGACTCAAAATGTCTATTCAGAAGAAAACCTGCTCATGAGTTTTTCAGAGTCTGATATTGAGGAATTTGGACTCTTATACATCAACTCTGCTACAGACCAACCTTGTGGAAACAAGATACGCTTTTTGAGACATAGTGTCTCACTCCACAGTAACATCCTGACCCTAATGAATATTTGTTGACGCAGCACATCCAGTCTAGGGCTGCAATCATAAACACGATGACCTTTGCTTTCCTCCTTGACCTTTGAACTCTCTTTCTGTTTTATCAGCCCGCTGACAGGTCAGTGAGAGGGAAACTCGTCATATATTACTGCCTTTCTTGACTCCCATGCCACAACCCAAACAACTGAGACAACAACAAGAGCCACTGAGACAACTAGGTGGAATATTTTAATGGTACAATATTACTTACTGGCCACAGGCAGACATGTAAAAAAGACTGCATGCATGGAAACTCCCCTATCAGGTGTATAGGATGAACATGTGACCAAAGCTGTGTAGAGAAAAAATAATATAAAGAAAAAAATGAAATGCTGATTACAGAGATCGAGAAGTGTCCTTTAATTGGTATCTGCTGTATTCCCCTGGAGGTCTCCCAACGAGCCTCACAAGCAGACTGACCATATGCACCCACAAAGTTTTTAGCTTGGAAGCACATGAAAGAGAGGACCTGGTTTGGAACTAAAAGGGTAGCGCTTCCATTTGACTGAAATAACCTAATGATTCTCAAATGGCATAATTTAGTGGAGCTCTGCAGGAACTATTTGACTGAGCAACATGCACAGGTTGAAACAAGTCAGACACAGTTGCATTTTCTTTTTAACTCACATCCCTGATCTTTTGGCTCTTGCTGTCACTTTCCAGCGCCTTTTTTTTCTCACCCTCTCTCCATTGTTCTGTTCAGCATTGCGTCCTCTGTTTTGATGCTGTTTTTTTTTTCCAACTTCAGCAGAGCATGACTTCACATGTGAAAACACAGAGCAGCTGTGAAAGTATGTGAGCGTGCATGTGTGTGTGTGCGTGTTGGTGGCTCCTGGGTGTGGAGCTTAATCCCAACCACAAGTGTTTTGCTGAGACCAGAGACCCCCATCCACTCCCACTGCGCACACCTTGTGCAAACAGTACAAAATGAAAACCCGTGAGATAGTTAACAAATTATTCATTGTATTTCTTTTACAATTTACGACTTTATGTTGTATTACAGAGGGAGAGAGTTTGCATGCCCGACAGCTAATGCTGCATTTTAAGTCGTAA